AATAGAGCGTTCACATTCACAGTGTCATAACACGAGCATTTAATCATTTATATATATGTGTAGACTGCATCTCCATCATTTAGACAAAGTGATCATACTGAACAGTGATCATAAAGATTATGGAGCAGAATCTACAGTACGTTTTGTTTACTTTCCTGTGTATGAAGAGGCACTCGTCTGACAATGAAAATTACATTCAATGAGAAAAACAACAGCACATAATAAATACGACAGTTGTCACAAAACCTGAGCACAAGCCATTACATAAACAACAAGCTGCAACTGAAGAATTACAATCGTAAATGTCTAAAATAAGAACATGTCAAATAAAAACAGTGAGAATAAATGATTCAATTAAAACATTCAGTTAAATCTGGCTTGAGGTCTGTCTGCTCCATCATAAGGCATTTATATTAGAGGGATGGGGAAAGGATGTTTCTACATAAAGTACAGTCATTTGTTCCCAATGAAAGTATTTCAAAACATTTTCTACTAATACCTAATTAAAATCACACAATCTGATTGGATCTACCTGATACTGGCTGGTCAATCAGCTGCTACATGAATTTAAACCATTTTTAAAAGATAAGAACAGAATTGGAAAATAAGTGTAAATTCACATACAGGGACAGGGACAGAATTGTAGAGAACAAGTGGACAAAGAAATAAGTTCAAAAAGTTCTTAATAAGGAACATAACAAATATGATATCATATGATCATGAACCTTCCAGTCAGTCCTGGGATTCGAACCTGCAACATTCTACTAAGTCCTGGGATTTGAACGCATAGTCTGTTAGTCCTGGGATTTTACCTGCAACCTTGTTGTTAGTCCTGTGATTTGAACCTGCAACTTTCTACTAAGTTCTAGGATTTGAACCCATAATTATTTAGTCAGGCCTGGGATTTCAACCTCAAATCTTCTACTAAGTCCTGGGATTTGAAACTGGAACATTCTAGTCAGGCCTGGGTTTAGAAACTACAACCTTCTAGTCAGTCCTGGGATTCGAACCTGCAACATTCTACTAAGTCCTGGGATTCAAACCTGCAACATTCTACTAAGTCCCTGAATTTGAATGCATAATCTTTTAGTCCTGGGATTTAAACTGCAACCTTGTTGTTAGTCCTGTGTTTTGAACCTGCAACATTCTACTAAATCCTAGAGTATGAACCCACAATCTTTTAGTCAGTCCTGGGATTTAAAACTCAACCTCAAACCTTCTACTAAGTCCTGGGGTTTAAAACTGCAACCTTCCAGTCAGGCTTGGGTTTAGAACCTGCAAAATTCTAGTCAGTTCTGGGATTTGCACCCACAACCTTCCAGTTGCAGGCTCACTTCACTATTATAAAATGTATAATTTTAAACCTTTTTAAAACTACTGTTTTAAATATTTTTCTTTTTTTAATTAAAATCAGCCTACACATAGAGCCACATACTAGGAGACAGGATGTTTTGGGATTAGTATGTCATTGGAAATTAAAAAAAACTATCAGCCATATGCTGAAATACTGAAATTCAACATTTACATACATTTACTTTTCGAATACAATTTACAATGATATACTTCAAAGGGAAAAAGAAAAAGAGCGTAGAAAGAATGTGGCAATCAGTTAACATGATACTAATGATTCATGAACTGGACAAAAATAATGTTTAATAATACATGTTTTTTTTCCATTCTGTCCTCACAGTCAAGTGATATCTTTATATTGTTTCACTTCTTTTCCCTTTGTATTTATTTATTTCACTTCATGCTGATATGCATTAATTAGTTATTTCCCATTTTTCCCATCACCATCTTTTTTATTGTCACTTTGAAACTAAGAATTTTCTGAGAATGTAGCTCTACTGACCCTGGTCATCAGTATCAATGTGAGGTAATCAGAAGTACAACAAACCAAACAAATGATAACTACCATTTCAGCTGCTATCGCTCTACACTGGTGGATATTCCATTGTATCGTACTAGTGTAAAGAGCCAGTAACAGAAGATGCAAATCCCATTAGCCTTTTGTTTGGTTTAACTATTCAGTCACATACAGCTGAACTACAATAAGACAAAAAGCTACACAAACAGCAATTCTGATAAAAATAAATCCTATGATTTCAGTGAAACTGCTATGGAAACAGCATTATTCACAATAGACGACTGTAACCATGACTGTAGCTGCAGTGGACCTTTTCCTAGGGCTGTTCAAATCCAGAATCGACTCAGATTCCAAATTCAAGTGATGGGAATTGTTGGAGTTGATTCCAAAAGTCGATTCCATACAATAATATAATAAATAAGGCCCAGTGATGTCTTGATTACAGCCAGCAAAGTGGGATATTTCTGTTGATGTGTTAATGTTTCGCGAGTGAAAAACATCACTGGAGTGTCTTTTGCATATGACTGTCATGGCATTTTGCTCAAAAGAAGCACCAAAATCTGCCCCTTGAACGTTCACGGCTGCTACTGCACAAAAACAATGCAGCATGGCTAACAAAGCAGAATGTTTCTCCGAGGCTTTTTTTTTTACCAATGATATACAAACATCTCAATTGTAAGCCACTTTTTTTTGCTACAATTTTAACATTACTATGTTTTTCACTGCGTATTTATTGGTATGTGTGCTGTCAGACAAGCCATCAAAACAGTAACAACAGAATATCTCACACTCCCAGTGCAGGCAAACATGAACAACACTGTATGGAATCGAGTCCAAAGCTTTGGAGTTCACTCTCGTTTCCCAGATACCTGGAATTGGAGAATCGACTCTTTCTGGGACCAGCCCTAGCTATTCCCAATAGTGTGCAGTAAGGCTACGTTTACACAGCAGGTAAAAGTGGCCCAAATCTGATCTTTTTCCTCATATGTGACTCAGATGTGTGTCAGTGTGAACAGCAAAAAAACACACTGAATCTGACATTTTCAATTCCGATTTGAGAAGCTTTCATATGTGGTACTGAAATCAGATACGTATCCGATATGCGGCAATGCGACCCAGTCTGAACAGCCAGTTAAAATCCGAAATCAAACTTTAAAGAATCCGAGGACGTGAACCAAAGAAGTGACCGTGGCCGAATAACGTGCCTAATAAGCTCGAACACTTCTCGCTGATGAGCCCAGCTGTCAGCCATAGGAACTTCATGGTCGCTCCTGTGACTTTGGCGTAGAAGAAATCATAGTCATGATTGTTTACCTCTGGATAAGTCTTGTGAAGCAACGTGAAGCATTGTTCTTTTGCGCATTTGGGTTTGATCTGTTCAGACTGATGTCGCATACAGATCACATTTAAAAGATAATGTGAACAGCCAGACAAAAAAATCGGATTTGGTGAGAAAATCAGATTTGGGCCACTTTTACCTGCTCTGTAAATGTAGCCTTAGTCTCAGTGTCACAAAAGAATAGACTCTGTGTGAGGTGTGAAGTCATTTGCAGAAATCTGACAATATCACAGACACAGTGTATCACATTGAAAGACTAGGTATTACTAAGCAAGTGGGATTTCACATTTAGCAGAAACAGAAGAATTACATCTAGAGGTGTTTTCTGGCCCACAGCAAAGAAAGCCTGCACCCTAACATCTAAATGGGGTCATGTTAATTATGGGAGATACTGGGATGAGTACAAGAGAAGTTAGAAAGCTTTTATAAAACAGGAGCTCAACCTCACGCACTTCATCATTAGCTTATAGGAGATTAACTCATCCAACATCAACTGAGCATATAACACAACACATGAAGAAGCTGGTTGGGAAAACACTGTCAAAGTTGTCGTGTGAGATACGATATATAGCAGCGAGATTAGCATTTGTGGGGAAACTGAATGACTATAAAACAAGCAAAGTCCTTGATGACCAACAATCCTTGATGGCATGGCTAGATTAAAGACCAAAAACTGTGAAAGCACTAGAGTTGGATGGTATCCACTTTTTTTTTACCACAACAGAAGATCTGAGCACTGCTTGTGGCGCTAGCATAGCTCACAGGCTAACAGCTCCACACACCACAGAACACGTTTGACTCTTGCTAACTGTCACTCCAACTCCAGTCACTTGACTTTGCTCACTCAGATTTGAATCTCTGCCTTCTGAATTCATGTCAGTGGAGCATAAATGAGCCAGGATCAAACCTGTACTGTGGTATGTGGAGCTGTTAGCCCGCTAGCTAAGCCAGCACTAGCACCACAACCAGTACCCCTCTACTGTCGTAGCTAGCACTGTTTAGCATTTAGCAACTGTTGTTAGATGAATGGTTTATTTATTCAGTACTGAACTGAAAGTCCCACTCATTTATGTTTTGCTCATTTATATAAACTGAAATTCAGAGTTTATTTGGCAGTTTAGTAGATGATTGAGTCACTCTTAGAAAAAAGGGCGCTATATAGTATCAAAAAATGGTTCCATGACTTGGAACAATAGCAAAACCCTTTTTGGTGATATATAGAACCATTTTTAAAAGGTTCTTCCAAGAACCATATTTTATAGGCTCTCCATCATGGAGAACAGCCATTTAATAATGCGAAGAACCATTTAAGCATTCAAATGGTTCTTTGAGTTGTCATGATTCTATACATAACTGCTACAAAATTCTTGAAAAACTCCCTTTTTAAAAATGAATTTTAACCATTTTTTGACTTTTCTGCATAATTAAATGGTTAAGACGGAAACAATTATTCAGAGTGCTGTGATGTGAAATGCTCCATTCTACTCAGAATTGTTCACAGTGGTGGTGATGGGAACCAGACGTCTGAAGAGTTTAATTAAGTTAGTTAAGAGTCCCACAACGGAGAAATTTCACCTCTGCATTTTAACCAATCCGTGCAGTGAAACACCACATACACACTAGTGAACACACACACTAGGGGGCAGTGAGCACACTTGCCTGGAGCGGTAGGAAGCCCTATCTGCAGCGCCCAGGGAGCAGTTGGGGGTTAGGTGCCTTGCTTAAGAGCACTTCAGTCACATACTGTTGGCTCTGGGGATCGAACCGGCGACCTTCCGGTCACAGGGCTGATTCCCTAACCTCCAGCCCATGACTGCCAAAATATGATGTCTGATGGCTGAGACATTGTTTTATGATAGTTTTGAGAAGGTTTTGGCCTGAAACTTATTTCTGAAAAGAAATAGTTCACAAAAAACTTGTTTTGCCATCATCAACTTTACATATAAAAACTTAGAAGACACATGTAGGTTTACTGGTCATTTTGGTTAGCGAATACAATTTCTAGATTTGTGATGTAGGCATAGTGACTCCTGGTTTCTATCACCACGACTGTAAAAAAAAATCTGACTCTGTGTTTCTCTACAATAGACCATTCAACATCAGACGATTCTGAATGACTTTGTTTACATCCCAACACCATAAGTAGTTACATACGATGGAATACTGTGTTACTGCTATACCGCCAAACCGTGGAAAACACTCAACTGTGCTCCAATTACTATTAACTCCCACCAAACAAAGGCAATGTTTTCATTCTAACAAACATCATAAAAGTCTAGTTCTGTGTGCAGCTGTTTTCCAAAGGTTAGCTTCTCAGGATGTGTGCAGTAGAGTTTCAGTGAAAGAGGCAGCTGGTAGCATCCGTCAGTAGTACTTACAGAGAAATGAAATGAATACAGATGTTGCTTTGACACACACAGTAATGACAGCAGCAGGAGGAGATGAACTATGTGCAGGATTGGCTTGTTTCTAGGTTGGGCTTCAGAGGATTAAGGTGTGGAGCTGACGTAAGCGTAACAACACGAGTCATACAGGTGGAGGTTTAAGTGCTTGTTTCTTCATTTCTGGACGTTGTCGTCTGAGTCGGCTGGACTGAAGCAGTTAAGGGTTTCCTGTGAAAGAGCACAGAGGATTACCTAAAACGGCAGTGTACTACTTAAAGCTAAACAGCATAATCATGCAAATATGTTGCATTTAACAATGAACATACTGAATTAGAGTGTTTTTGATTAAATACAATTTATTACAATAAATACTGAAACATGGAGCTGATGTGATAAAATCCACTAAAGGTATTAAAAAGCACAGATTATAGCTTCAACCATTAGGGGCAGATTTACTAAGAGGCCCTAAATACTGACAGTCTACCAGTACTTTGCGCTGGTGGGGGTGGCCAATTTAGAGACTGATCTACTAAAAACTACCATGCTAATGAACACAGGCACAGCTTCACAATTAACATACGACCAGTGCAATATAACCATGTATTTGGCTCACGTGCTTTTTGTATAAAAGCCTGGTAGGAGACAAAAGATTTTTTTTTGTCCATTTCAGGTTCAAACTGTGACTCGTTGGGTCAAAATAATGACTTATTTTCTCAAGATTTTGATTTCACAATATTGACAAAGTTGAAATAAATGAGATATTACTCACTCCACAGGGGGTCAACAGAGATGAAACTCTACTTTTATGGCTGAAAAATCAATTTAGACAATGTCTATAAAGTTGCAAGAGCAAAGACTGAAGAAAAGTTGTTGCCCACATGTGATACTTCCAGAATACAGTGTAGTGCCCACTCTGTTCACACTGTGTTCTGGACACAGACTGAGGTCAGAGTGGAAAAACCTGCAGTAGTGGTTTAAAGTCCCGGTAACTCTTCACAGTTACATAAACATCCATTAAGTCTCCCACAGGCAGTTTAAAAATGAAGCTGTGTGAGTTGTGAATAACCATGTCCTTTGTATGTGTGTGTATATGTGTGTGTGTATGTGTGTATATGTGTGTGTATATGTGTGTGTGTATGTGTGTGTATATGTGTGTATATGTGTGTGTATGTGTGTGTGGAGTTGCACACTTGCATCAGCACCGCAAAACATAAACTTCAGCTAGTGTGTGCTGTTTCAGCTCAGTGAGGTCAGTTAGGCTATTTAGACTTAAACCACTGCACTCTGCTCAGCAGGCTGTCGACTTCCTGAGAATGACCAATGAAAATAAGACCAATGTTTTGAAAATGACCAATATGTCCATGTTTAAAACACATGTTCTACATGTACATTATATATGTAAGTACCTATATGTAATAACAATATTGTCACTGTTGCATAAAAACCCTATATCTCCAAATTTATTGATTTTTTTTATTTTTTTATTATTTTGAAAATTCCTGTTACCCTTTAAAAATTGTGTCAAAATTTCATGACGAACGTACCAACAGAATTGGGCCAAAAATCCAAAACATTACTTGGAAAAAAATACTGTTCTATTAATATGTATTTTACATGTGTAGGTTATATGTCAGCTATATGTAATTATAATGTTTCAACCCTAACTCTAAATGTAACCCCAGACAAACGCACAAAGAAAGTAACAGTTCACTAACTGGTTTCTCTGTGAGCTCGTCGCTCTCCCGTGTGGAGTCCAGCGCGGGGGGCAGAGGGGTTCGGGGTGGGTTTCCCACACTGAAGAGACGTGGGCGCTTCACCTGGTCCTGACTCGACATGGGCGTAAAACTGTTCCTCCGCAGCAGAGCAGGCGGGACGTCATGTCTGCCACAGACCTGTTTACAGCAGCAATGGAGAAAAGAGTGAGAGAAAGGTCACTCAGACGCACACAAGGAACATCTGACTGATGATGACTGACTGTTCATCTGACTGTTCTCAGACATAAAACCAAAACATATTCCACAAGATTCCACACCTCAGAGAGCACAGAGGAAAAAGTGAAGGAACGCTGTAAGTACTGGCAGATCACAAGAGTTACAGAAGAGAAGAGAAGAGAAGAGAAGAGAAGAGAAGAAAGGAGAACAGCAGAAGAGAAGAGAAGAGAAGAGAGAAGAGGTGAAGAGAAGAGTATAGAGGAGAAGAGAAAAGAGGGGAAGAGAGGAGAACAGCAGAAAAGAAGAGAAGAGCAGAGCAGAGAGGAAAAGAGAAGAGGTGAAGAGAAGGGAAGAGTGCAGAGGAGAAGAGAAGAGCAGAGAGGAGAAGAGCAGAACAGAAGTGAAGAGAAGAGAAAAGGAGAGGAAAGAGGAGAAGAGAAGAAAGGAGAACAGCAGAAGAGAAGAGAACAGAGGAGAAGAAAGGAGAAGAGAGAGGAGAAGAGGCGAAGAGAAGAGTACAGAGGAGAAGAGAAGAGAGGGTAAGAGAGACAGCAGAAAAGAAGAGAAGAGAAGAGCAGAGCAGAGAGGAAAAGAGAAAAGAAGAGAAGAGAAAAGCAGAGAAGAGAAGAGAAGAGGTGAAGAGAAGAGTACAGAGGAGAAGAGAGAGAAAAAAGAAGAGAAAAGCAGAGAGGAGAAGAGAAGAGGTGAAGAGAAGAGTACAGAGGAGAAGAGAAGAGGTGAAGAGAAGGGAAGAGTACAGAGGAGAAGAGAAGAGCAGTGAGGAGAAGAGAAGAGAAGGAGTACAGAGGAGAAGAGAAGAGAAGAGTACAGAGGAGAAGAGAAAAGCAGAGAAGAGAAGAGAAGAGAAGAGAAGGAGTACAGAGGAGAAGAGAAGAGTACAGAGGAGAAGAGAAGAGAAGAGTACAGAGGAGAAGAGAGGAGAAGAGAAGAGAAGAGTACAGAGGAGAAGAGAAGAGTACAGAGGAGAAGAGAAGAGAAGAGTACAGAGGAGAAGAGAAGAGAAGAGAAGAGAAAAGAAGAGTACAGAGGAGAAGAGAAGAGAAGAGAAGAGTACAGAGGAGAAGAGAAGAGAAGAGAAGAGAAGAGAAGAGAAGAGAAGGCTTACGGATGCATTAGTGTGCCTGTTTCCTGTTAAAGCCCCGATGTTTAAAGCCAAACTGCTGAAGAGTTTAAGTTTCTCTTTTCACCACAGAATTGTGATGTATATTTAGACAGTCACTCTGAGTCTCTACTCTCAGTCACTCACTAACCCACACACACACACACACACACACACACACACACACACACAAACCACAAAATACACTTCAGTTGCCTTTTATTGTCTCCTTGATTTAACCAGTCAATGATAAGCTTTTCCACAGCAAACTTCATTGTAAACGTGTGAAACTATCACAGTGCATCCAACAATAAAAGCAGCAAGGAGCTTCTTTTATACAGCGATAGGAAACACGTTAGCCACACAGAAAACTCATACACATACTACTCTGGGGGCAAATTTTAGTGAGTTATGAGGGACAAAGACAAAGACTCTGGAAGGATCACTGATTTTACACTTGATAGACTTCTGGTTTTCCTACATTCAAACTATTATTACGAACCACTAAAAGACAGTGGTGAACTATCAGACTTAGGCCTTCAATTCAGGCTGTAAGTGTAAAAAAAAAACAAGAAAAACACAGCTCTATGCTAACGCTAGTTTCTGCTAGTACCCCTATGAGATTTCTAATAGTATGTTAGCACTAAGTTAACACTGATACACCTCCTGTCAAGCTCCTGAAGGTCCAACCAATGGGAGGGCTCGCTTGTCTGTATCTCACTTGATATCACGCGGAAAAGAATCCTGAAGGGACAATTTTCCTTTTGGAAGTTCAAGACTTTAACTCTTTTGTTTCCAACCGAAGCATTACTACACTAATTGCAGAGTTCAAATACAACAGACAAGAACAAGCATGACATTACTAAATAAAAACATATACTATATAAAAATTATACTAATTAAAAATTAACATTTTTTTGTTCTCTGAAGGCCTAGCAGGCTCCCCGCTGCTAAAGGACCACCATCACCAACATCCTGACCAGCATCTCTTCATGTGATTTATACAAACATTCCCTGACTGGACAGTAAAAGGAGAAGAATCATTCACACACCTGAGATTTATATGAATCAGTTTCATACTCCTTCTATACATAAACCATTTCCAGTGTTTTAATCTTCAGGAACATTCATGCTTCAGCTCATCCTCGGTGTTAAAACATGCAGTCTCACAAATGTCATCACAGCTTCACAGCATCTTAGTTAATACGCCCATTTCTTGTAATATTTACACTGGCATCAAACCATTTTCAGGAAGAAAAACAAATCGAGGAATTTCCAAAGCAGAACAAACAGCCTGAATGATCAGGTCTTTTCCCTGCATCACTATCTGCATGTTCATCTTGATTACGGGAAAAAAAACTGCCATCATCATTCATAACAGACAATTTTGTAACTAGAATTAGGTTTCAAAACATTAGGGCTGTATCAGCGGGCCAATAACATCATCTGTCATCGAAGACTCTCTGTATTCTCAGGGTCAGCAAAAATGCTGTCAGTTAGTTAGAAGTTAGCAAGAAACCTTAGAGAGGTGAACTGGTAAATCAAAAAACACCATCATGGTAAAAATAATAAATGTATGTAAAATGTATCTAAAACTCATCATCAGTATGAGAATATCATGTTAAAGAAAACAACTTTTTAATGAACAGATCTGTTGAAAAAAAGAGGTAATAGACAGAAACCAAAACTCCTGCCTAGTGCTAGAAGGTTCATATTACTGTTGCTGTTTCTGTTTATTTCCACTGATTTTTTCAAATTTTCTGTATATTTCAGTCATTGAGATGCAAACAAGGTCCTGGTTTGGTGTGAAGTGGTTCACTGTAGAAAAACTTAATAACTCTGATCTCTTTACAGTGGTGGTGATGGGAATCAGGGGTCACAACGTCTACAACACAAATACAGCCATTTTATTTATACCCCAAAATGAGTGTCTCATGAGCTTTTATATGTGATGTTGACGGTGGTAAAATAGTGGTAAATCTGAAAATATATATCTAGTTTTTTCAGGGACTATTTTGCATCACAATGCCCTAAATGTACATCTCCACCATGAAAAATACCTTTTAGCTCAAAACTTTATCTCAAAACTATTGTAAAATAATGTCTTGGGCATCAGTCAATGTATCCATTACCATATCATGTGATAACTTTCTGTGAGGGAGCTTTTAGAGGCATTAAACTCTCCATCCGGTTCCTATCACCAATACTGTGAAGAGTTCATAAGATTCACTAAGTTTCAAACAACTCTGAATGACTTTCTTTACATCTTAACTATTTAATGATATAGAAATCTAAAAAAATGGTGGAATTCCCCTTTAAAAATTGTAAAACTTGAGAACTGTCAATCAGACAGTGTAGCACTGTTTAACTTAAACTAGTAGATTATAGCATTTACATATAAAATAAATATAAAATTTATTGTCTGATATTGCCAGTTAGTGGAATTTTTATCCCCTTAAAATCGGTATCGGTGCAGCTCACAAAATGTTCATATCGGTCGGACCCTACAAACTATGTACAATATCAGTGAATAATATATAATTTTACAAAGGTACCCTCAACAAATTGTTTATATTTAGAACTTTAGTGAAATTTAGAGCTGGAAAATGAACCACAGTCATTTTTATCATCCTAATTACTACTACCTGGATTTACTAAACCTACAGTAATGAACTGGATAACTGCAAACTTTAACAGACATCAATAACAAGGAACAAGAACCAGCAGAAGAAACATTGTACAGATCAAACAATACACAATTGGACAGAAATGCTCTTACCAGTGGTCTGTTCCGGTGTGTGTTCACAGCTTCAACTTTCAGGTCAAACATGTCCACTTTACAGCCTGCAAGGTTATTAATAAGGCATGTATTTTAAAAAATGTTACACAATTATTTCTTACGTCAGAAACCACCTCCTTGTATCTACTCTCATGTCCGTTGTCCTGTGACTGCTGATGAAGGACTAGAGGATGACCAATACAAACTGGGCAGCAACAAATGAGCTACTGTATCTGACTTCTACACTTACAAGGTGGACCAACAAGGTAGGAGTGTCTGATAGAGTGGACAGTGAGTGGACACAGTGTTTAAAAACTCCACTGCAGTGCTGAGAAGGATCCACCACCTAAATAATACCTGCTCTGTAGTGGTAGGACCACCAGAACGATGATTAAAATCATACAGGTGTGAATTCTTTTACTGCCCTGTTGTGGCTCCACAGCAGAATCAGATTTGTAGGTAAAAATAAAATAATCCTCCTTTACAGTAAAATAAAGCTCTGCTGATCGTTCAACACAGTTTTAACAATAAATGGTCTTAAACACTGGAGTTAATGTATAACTGCTAATTAAACCTTTAACCCTTAAGACCGGTGTGCAGGCTGCTGGTCATATAGCAACGCAGACAACAATCTCTTCTAGCTAGTAGCTAACGAAACGGCAAAGAGAAAGATTTAAGAGAAACATGAATAATTTGGAGACGAATGGATGTATCTGTGTTAATAAGCACTCAGCTGGTTTTCTAAAACATTCAGCTTCTTGTTTGAATTTTCCCGTTCCACCTTAAAGGGTGCTGCAGTTACATTCTGGCGCCTCAGGCACCATTTAAGGTGGGACAGGAAAATTCACACAAGAAGCTGCGAATGAGAAGCAACTTCAGCCACATAAAAAAATTAACGTTGAGAGACATTTTACAACTATTCTACTTCTGCCAAAAAGTTTCCTGATACTAATGTACTACAGGCACATCAGTACATACTGAGACATATTTACAGCCAAGATGCTGAAATGGACATAAAATGTTGTGGCTCCCAAGGTGGTTTGATTTTTGATGAAAGGACAAAATGGCTCTTCTTAAAATGTGGGTTGCCGACCCCTGACCTATGGTGAAATCTCCCATGAAATATCAGTCTGAATGTTGTCAGAATTTTCAGATGATGTTTTTATGCAAATACAAAAAAATGACCAAAAGCACGTTCAACTAGGAGCATAACACTATACTTTCCCAGGAAATGCAGAGTCTGATGATATCTACACAACTAACTCATATCTTAAAGCAAAAAGTATTTACCATACGCCACAGGGGTGAGCTTCAGCACCACATGGAGTGGACACTTCAGATATGGCAAGTCATCTGAAACAGAAAACAGAGGGTCTTTTATAAGAACAAAACCAGCTGGGGGCTGAGGCAGTGGAGTGCAGGCAGGCCTGAAGGGAGCAAACCAGCACTGCACACAGCCTGTCTTGTGAAGGTCTGTTGAATGGAATGCTGTTCCAAGCACTTTAGATTCGATATGAACTCTTACAGCAAGAGCTCATCTCAAATCTCATCTACATCACAGATATAGTGACAAACAAGAAACACAAACTTTCTGTTTTCATCAGTTTGTTTCTTTGCGTCTATGTTTGTGAGGAATAGAGTGAAAGAAAGATGAGGAAAGAGAGAAATAGAGAGAAAAAATGAGAGAGAGAGAGAGAGAGAGAGAGAAAGTGTGGGAAAAGGAGAAACAGGCAGAGAGATAGAAAAGAGAGTGAAAGTAAGAGAGAGAGAGATTAAGAATGGGGGAAAACATGAGAAAGAGGGCACCCCAGGTCAAATGACATGTTTTATTGACTTCAACAAAATATGCCATCTGAACCGGTCAAACTTTTGCAAATGACCTTATGTATACACGATATGGCCAAAGTACGTGGACACCTGCTCATAACATCTATATGAGCTTACTGGACATCCTGTTTCAAAACCATGGGCATTAACACACTTTGTGACTATAGCAACCTCCACTCTTCTGAGAAGGAAGTGGGAACTTCTTTCCATTCAGTAAAAAGGGCATTTGTGAGATCAGGCACTGATGTTGGGCAAGAAGGCGTGGCCCTTAATTGACGTTCCAATTCACTGCAAAGGTATTCAGTAGGGTTGAGGTCAGGACTCTGTGGAGGCCACTGGAGTTCCTCCACACAAAACTTGTCAAGCCACGTCTTTATGGACTTTGCTTTGTGCCCAGGGGCTCAGTCATGCTAAAACAGGATAGGGACTTCCCTTTGGAAGCATATAATTGTCTGCAATGTCTTTGTATGCTGTAGCATTAACATCACTCTGGAAGGGGTCCAAACCCTGAAAAACACCCGTGTCATTATCCCTCCTCCACTAAACTTTATTGTTGACACTATGCGGAGAGTGACTAATCACTCCAGAGAACACATTTTCACTGCTCCACAGTCCAGTGGCAGTGTGCTTTACACCACTCCAGTCGAGGCTCCGCATTGCATATAAAGATCTTAGGCTGGTGTGTGACTGCTCAGCCACTGAAACCCATTTCATGAAGCTCCCAGTGCATAGTTCTTGTGCTGATGTTGCTTCCTGAGGCAGTCTGGAACTCCATAGTGAGTGATGCAACAGAGGAGAGGAGATTTCTACACACTACGTGCTTCAGCACTTGGCAGCCCCACTCTGTGAGTCTGCGTGGTCAGCTGTTCTGTGGCTGAGCTGTTGTGTTGACACTTCCATTTCATAATGATAGCACTTACAGTTGTCTGGGGCAGATCTAGCCAGGCAGAACTTTCACAAAATGACTTGTGGCAGAGGCGGCATTCTATAAAATAAGACTCATTCTTCTGTATGTGTATACACATACAGAGAGAGAGAGATAGAGAGAGAGAGACAAAAATCCTAACCTGCACTCTTGTCCAAAAAGTAGGCTAGAAGGCATCTCATGACGGCCTGATGGCAGATGACCAGGACATTTCCCTGTCTCTCCAGCTCCATTATCACCGGCTCCAGACGCTGTACCAGGTCCTGATATGACTACAGCAGCACAGGAGAGACAAACCACCCATTAGTCTTTTACCCAATCCTTAAAAGGGCTTAAAACTGACACGCATACTTTAAGGCTCACATTCACCATATTTCGTGGATTTTGTGTGGTTATTTACACAAGACTACATAAGACAGCGGTAATTCATTGACCACTTTCCGACTTTATTATCCCTCAGAACAGTGGTTCCCAACCCAGTCCTCAGGGCCCCCAGATGCACCAGCATGCAACACACAGGGATGGAGGAAATGTGGACTGTCTGGGGGGTCCTGATGACCAGGCGTGGAACCACTGCCTTAGAATAAAGCATAAAGACTGTTTTACTGCAGCGCTTATCTGTATGTATAATGTATAATATATGTAAATGACATCTGTCCTTATTCATGTGGATCAAATTCTTTACTCCTCACTGAAAAGAATAAACACTGAAAAGAATAAACTGTAGCCACTCCTTTCAGCAGTGTGGATCTTTTGGAAGGCTACAATGAAATATTTGATTAAATGTGCATGTAAATGCATTCATGATTGTGACATTATAACATTTACGAATTGAAAACAGGCTGTTTTTGCAACTTAGTTTCCATCTATGTACTGAATAGACTGTGGAGCGAATAGAGCATTTTCAAACTTTGACATCAAACTCTTATTTAAACAGAGCAAGGAAAGAAGTGTGTCTCCTCCTATCTCTTTCAGTTGGATCTTAGACATAACAAAGAAACTTATCCTTGATAAATGCTGGCCTTCAGAAAAAGTTTCTCAACTCTTCGTGCACTCTGTGTAAACATGCAGAACGGAATTCTCCTTCTGGTTTTGATGGCTTTAGAGTGGGAGAACGGTGTAAGTGAGGCCTACCTCTCCTCCTGGGTAGCGGTAGTGATATTTATCCTGATCTCTCATGGCATATTCTTCAGGGTGCTTGTCCCTGATCATCTCGTAGGACATTTCTTCACAAACTCCCTTCAACAACACAAACAGAAGCGGTTCAAGCTATAGTTCCTCCACAAAGTTAGAAAAATGAACAAAAATATGTACATAATCAATGATGGCTTCTACTGCTGTTTTAAGCTTCACTGCATAAACCTTAGCCAGTGAAAACATCTTAAATGTAGTCAATTATGTCTAATATTTCTCATTATAAGGTTGTTGTAAGAATATTATACTATTATTTAACTAATATTAGATATAATTGGCTAGATTTAAGATGGTTTCACTTGCTAAGATATCATTTATTTGCAGTGTACACAACATACATCTGTCTCTTTTAATCAGAAACATGAGATTTGGGGATTTGGAAATGCGTAATTCAAGCCAGACTTGAGGTTATATTTGACACTTTGGGTGAGGAAGGTTGGTTCGGGTCAGTTTCAGACATAATTTTGTTGTACTAAGGTAAGGTCTGGTGTCAAAACTTGATGTAGTTTGGATCGGTTTTGGACAAAATTTTGTTGGGCTCAGGTTCAGACTTAGATGATGTGGGTCAGGCTCAAACAAAATTTGTTGAGCTCATGTCAGTTTTGGTCTCGAAACTTGACGTGGTTCGGGTCAGTTTCAGACATTCTGTTGTACTGGGGTCAGATTTGGCCTCAAAACATGACATTGTGGTTCGGGTCAGTTTCGGACAGAATTCTGTTGTACTAGGGTCAGATTTGGCCTCAAGACTTAATGATGTGGGTCGGGTCAGGTTTGGACAAATTTTTCCAGAGTTTAGGTCAATTTTAGTCTCAAAAATTTATGAGCATTAGACTAAAATTTCAGGCCAGATTAAAGCTCTAGTTTGAGGCAAGTGTGTGATAATTTAGGCCTGCAGTTAGGACAGTGCTAACTGGTGGGGTATAAGCTACTGGTTAACCACATTAGCCTCGTAGCTCCAGTGCAATCCTAAAGAAGCAGGCTTTAGACAACATGTTTTGGGTGAATGACTACATTTGGGATAAAAGGAAAACTGAGCATGTCTTTGGAGCCACCACTTCAAAATCTTTGACTATTTTATTTTTTTGTTTTTCCTGTCATTTTGACATGTGTTGTTGAACACATCCACACAATTCCTTGCTACACAGTGCAAATGAAAAACAGGCATCCCACACGCCAGTGTGTTCCAATAAGACCTACAAAATAATTCCTAATAAAAAGTCAACGCTGTTTTTCAGGATTAGCCATGAGGAAAACAGCAGTGCGGCGTAGATGGGAGAAGCAGTTGTAGCAGGTGGCAGTGGAAGGGTAACTCACAGCATCAATCTCGTTGAGGATTTTCCACTGTTCATAAGGCACGCCCAACGCCTCGGCCGTCTGAATGGTGCGCTTAAGTTGGCTGGTCCACACTTTGAGGCCCACTATCTTCTGGTTCTCCACAAAACCCCGCAGAGCACGAGCAAACTGCACAAACATTGAGGAGGAGGTTAAGGTTAATGGCAGAGCTGGACCAGATGATCAAAAATCTAACAGCAGATTATTTAGCCATATCAGTCAACAGCATAATTTAATTCAATAATGGACCCCTAATCACTGTTCCCTACATCAGAGCGCTATATAGAACACTATTATAGAGAACAGAAATGGTCTCTAATCACTGTTCCCTACATTAGAGCGCTATATAGAACACTATTATAGAGAACAGAAACGGTCTCTAATCACTGTTCCCTACATCAGAGCGCTATATAGAACACTATTATAGAGAACAGAAACGGTCTCTAATCACTGTTCCCTACATCAGAGCGCTATATAGAACACTATTATAGAGAACAGAAACGGTCTCTAATCACTGTTCCCTACATCAGAGCGCTATATAGAACACTATTATAGAGAACAGAAACGGTCTCTAATCACTGTTCCCTACATTAGAGCGCTATATAGAACACTATTATAGAGAACAGAAACGGTCTCTAATCACTGTTCCCTACATTAGAGCGCTATATAGAACACTATTATAGAGAACAGAAACGGTCTCTAATCACCGTTCCCTACATCAGAGCGCTATATAGAACACTGTTATAGAGAACAGAAACGGTCTCTAATCACCGTTCCCTGCATTAGAGCGCTATATAGAACACTATTATAGAGAACAGAAACGGTCTCTAATCACTGTTCCCTACATTAGAGCGCTATATAGAACACTATTATAGAGAACAGAAACGGTCTCTAATCACTGTTCCCTACATTAGAGCGCTATATAGAACACTATTATAGAGAACAGAAACGGTCTCTAATCACTGTTCCCTACATCAGAGCGCTATATAGAACACTATTATAGAGAACAGAAACGGTCTCTAATCACTGTTCCCTACATCAGAGCGCTATATAGAACACTATTATAGAGAACAGAAACGGTCTCTAATCACTGTTCCCTACATTAGAGCTATTGTTCAGGCCTAATTAACACACACACCTTGCCTTTGCTCCAGTCACAGACACCACAACCACACCTACAATGTGTTTCAGCTCAGACAAAACAGCTACGCTCTGCTTCCACTCAGACACCACAGCCTGCTCTTAATAAGCTGTGGCTTCATTTAGTCGTGCAGTAAAAACACTGTGGTTAAAGTGGAGCTATGAAGCAGGAACAGGCTATTCAAAACAATGTAGCAGATCCAGTTACGAGGTCAGTTCCAGGGGGATACTGGACAGAGATGCAGCCATTCTGGCATCTGACCAAAACAGTGGCACTAAACTATTCTGTCATTGTGCTCTGAAGGTGTATCAGTATCACTGATACCATCATCTTCTATTCATTTCATGCACTGTTGTACAAAGAGATATTTCAGTTTTAGGTAAGCAGTGCCCAGTTTAAATGCTTAAACTCTGGCTCATCATTTAGTTATTAATCATAAGACTTATCCAGTTAACCAGCAACTGTCATGAATTATCCAGTAACTACTATAACTGATCCATTAACTACTATAAATTATTTGTACTTTCTACAAAATTTTTAGTATTTAGTATTTAGTAACTACAATGTATTCTTTAGTAACGTTTACAATATATTCAGTAACTACTACAATTGATTCAGTAGCTATTATTCATTATTTAATATGTACTACAATTGACTCAGTAACTACTACACCTTATTCAGTAACTACGATTAATTATTCAGTAACCACTATGAATTAATCAGTTACAGTTATGAAATATTTAGTAACTGCTAATTTTCATAACTACTACAAATTATTCAGTTACTGCTATAAATTTTACAGTAATTACTACTAACTATTCATAAACTATTGTAAATTACTCAGTAACTATTACTGACTACAAATTATTCAGTAACCACTACGGATTATTCAAAAAATTCTATCAATTATTCAGGAACTACTACAAGTTATTCGGTAACTATTACAAATTAGTCAGTAATTAATACTAATTATTTAGAAACGATTGTGAATTATTCAGTAACTACTACGAATTATTCAGTAACTATTGCAAAATATTTAGTAACTATCATGAATTATTCAGTAACTATTACAAATGATTCAGTAACTATTATGAATTATTCAGTAACTACTTGAATTTATTCAGTAAATACAATGAATTATTCAGTAACTGCTATAAGTTATTTAGTAACTTTTATGAATTATTCAGAAACTACTGTGAATTATTCAGTAACTGCTATCAATTATTCAGTAATGACTATTAATCATTCAGTAAATACTATCAATTATTCAATAACTAAGCTCAATTATTCAGTAACTACTATAAATGATTTAGTAACTTCTATATATGATTTAATAACTACTACAAATTATCCAGAAGCTACAATGTTTGGCTCAGGCGTCTATACTTCCTGTAAAATCATAGTAATGATGCATCACTATTACTTAAATGCCTGAAATGTTCCATGGAAAACGTCGGGCGTCACATAATTGAGCTGTGTGCTGTAGTATGTCCTCAGTAAATCCAGCAGTCCCGCGTTGTGCAATGACGTCTGGATTTGGTTTGGTTTTAGGGTGGGATTAGCTGATGCTACTCTGACTGTAAAGAAATCCTGCTGTATCATGTATCTGTGGTTTTTTTTATATGATTTGGATATTTCATTCACTCAGAAGGAAAAAATGACTTTTATTTCCTTATTTCCTTCCCCTTCCACATTAAGTCCACTGCAGATGAGACAATTTACACAAGAACAATAATGAAAAAGAAGCCTAAAATTAGATCAGAATGATCAGATTTTAAATGAAAATAATCAGATGGAGAGATGGAAACACTTGGGAACTTGGCAATAGCTCAAGACATCATACGCTTGATCCCAGCTGAGGGTTGCTGCCACTGTGCTCTTTATAAAGGCACTAAAACAAGTTTCACCAAGAGACTCTGGTTCTGTAAAAGGCTAATGTACACAAGTTGCTTTGGGCAAGAAAGTCAGTTGTTGCTCTGCATGGGACAAAACATACATCGGTAACGTGTAGTTACTCAGTTTAAAGTGGTTATCAGGCAAGAAATCAAATGTACAGAACTTCCTCCTTATTTCAAAAGTAGCCAGTCAGCTAAGACGTATTTGGTGTCTGATGTTTGCCTAAACCGTACACTTTCAAATAGACTTGCTTACATGGTTTCTGACACTCTATGAAATACTGTTATCTGTAAAATGTATGAAAGCTCAAGCTTCAAGATACCACTGCTTTCTGTAGATGACAGTGTTGTCATACAGTGTCAGAAACCAAACATGTCTTGGCAGCTATATTTAAGCAATAGAGCACTCGAGGCTGTGTTATTGCGAAATAACATCATGGCAGTGATTTGCCGTAGATCATCACAGCCATGATGTTATTCGTGATAACACAAAACCTTGAGTGCTCTATTGCTTTTATACAACAGTTGAATAAATGAAGTAATAAATAAATAAACTGGGCCGTGAACACGGCGTTTAATATGTTTTAATGTTCGCAGTTCCTTCCGCCAAATTATAGTTCCTTAAGAAGCAGCTTGTTGATCAGAACAACAAACTCCGCTCACTCCCTGCTCAGTCTGCTGTAAGCCTCGTCTTTTGAAGTACGGACTGAGCCATAAAACTGCCGCAATATCAAGTTCAGCTCAGTTTGGCATTTTTCGCTAGATCAGTATTAATGTTGTTTTGTTCCAGCCAGTCTGTAAAGCATCTTACAGCCCATTTAGTTTGGCGAATGGTATTGGGTTCATTTCTGGCTGATTCCAGGTTGTTTAGCTGTTCTTCTGTCACAGCTGCCGACTGAAAAGCTGCTCAGTGGTGATGACAGTTTGGGAATTTGGTGTAGTCTCATCTTCAGAGTCTGACCAAATCGGCTGTCGGTCAATTGTGATCTTAAAAGTATCCATTTTCTGTTTGTGGCACAGTAAGAAGTAAAAACGTTCAAATGGCTCGAGCGTCTCCTACAGCTGTCAAAGTCGTTGCTTAGCAACAGCGTCTCAGCGGAGTGATACAGTGTTTGTGAAAAACCCCGTGATGTTATGGTGAAATAACAGCACGGTTAGAACGCTTCTCAACCAATCAGCTCGCAAGGCCGGAACTAACTGTTGTATAATTTGGGATAATAATAAATTATGAACGTTTGTATGTGTATTTACTGCCAAACTACTGCTTTAGGACAGGAATAAGGGCACTTTAACGTACAGATAACTTAGAAGGGTCATTTTTTTAAAGCCACACCTCTTTTCCCCGAGAAGACAGGCCAGCGTCTCCTCCGATCAGGCCCTGGATGTTGTGTTCGCTCTCTCCATGGCGACACAGGTAGATGGAGTGTGAGTGGACATGGATGTTCATCAGATAGTAGACGATTTTGCTCTGGATGTAGTCCTGCACACGGTTCACCAGGAAACGCTGGCCTACGTTTATCACCTGGATAAAGGAGCGGTCTCTGCAACACACAAACACACCATCCAACTGTTTAATCACATAACATACACCATAGTACAGTATATATATATGTTTATAACGCTGCTGCCGGAACAAAACCTCGTATCTCCAAAAACTGTAACTTTACAGGAGAAGGAAAAAACATACTTGACTTATAATGTAAGTCAATGGAACCAGAATTTTTCCCATGTCATTTTGGCCCTTTTATTTTGATCCGTTTCATCATGAAATGTACACACAATGTAAAGAGCAACAGGTATTTTCAAATTATGTCAAAAACTGAAAAACAAAAATGGAGATACAAGGTTTTGTACCGACAGCAGCGATATGTATGTACATATAAGACCTGGGGGACACCAAACCATCCCCATCAGATAAACAGCACTTAAGCTTCCATCTCTGAGAGAGAGGAGAAAATCCAAAAAATCCAAAAAAGAAGAAATTGAACAAAAAAAGCTGATGGTGTTTCGCAGAACAATCCAGAGCTCAACATCGCTGAATGTGTTTGGGATTATTTGGATTGTGAGAAGCAGAAAGTGCAACCAACTTCTAAGACTGAACTTTGCAGGTGTGGAAAAAATCCCTATAGATTGCTTTAAGACTGAAAGCGAATCTCCTGTAAAGAATGGAAGCTGTAATAAAGGCAAAGTGTGGACACATTAAATACCAAAAAGCTCAGTATTTAATATAATTAAGCTCAGCAGAACATTACTGTTCCCCATTTGAAAAGCAAACAGATATATCACAGCTTTGAACTGTAATGATTTAAGAATGTAAAAATTCATTAGGCTTCTGTCTCGATTCAGTTTAAATTTATTTGTACAGTCAGAAAGCACCTGTACAGAAATCTGAGCTCAAGCTCCATAGTGAGCAAACTAAGTGGCAAAGAATAATTCCCTAAGGAACTTTGAGGAAGATCCACTGAGAGGAACCAAGACTCTAAAGGAGAAACTCTCTAAGAACATGAGGAAGAACCACTGAGAGGAACCAAGACTCAAAAGGAGAAACGTTCTAAGAACATGAGGAAGAACCACTGAGAGGAACCAAGACTCAAAAGGGAATCATCTGCCGCTGGTCGACACCGCACAGCATAAAAATATCCCAACAAAAGCAAAAATACAGGAATGAAGCGAGCCTAATCATTAGATGGACTTCAGAGTGACCAGTCCCTAGTGTTAGGCTATCCAAAAAAAAAAAAAGAAATGAATTAAACGCATGACTGCATTCAATTCTGCTCACTATGACTATGACCAGTCTCTATGACATCCAGCCAAGGCTTCTAGCTGCAGCAGAAGGGGGGGGATTGCGCAATCAGGTGAGACTGGCCACTGTAATCTGATACTAAGACGCTTGCTAACTCCATAAAAGTAGATCAAAACAGAGTGAGTGTCGTCGGTTCAAAAGAACAGCTGGTTCTGGTAATCGAAATTGGTGATAATTGGCTAATTAACCCGACTAAACCCTCTGTTTAAGGTGTGGTCAGGACACTTTTTACATATCTGGAGGCGCTGAGAGGAGAACTGTGGCTCAGCACAGCAAATCCTCCCTTCCTTCTCCCACAGATAAAGCCAGAAGAATGAAAGGAATTGTTGATCTGAAACTTCCGACAGCTATTTGGAAAGCATTTTTCCAAGCAAACTGCTTATCAAGTACATCTCACATTTGACTGCAGCACAGCTTTACAAAATGAAAGCATAACACAAACTTTACCAAAGAAGCTTGTAGCGTCTGTAAACCCAGAAAAATGCTGGCACCAATTTAAATACCAAACTTGGACATGTGGATGCATAAACATGCGAACGTCTGTAAAACATCAAAGTGTAGACTTTGTCTCCCCCTGCAGGTGCAACTGTAAAACTACACCAAAGAGTGCAACATCCAGGCTCGTACCAGGGCTGCACAACACTGACAGTATTGGGATTATATTTTGTATTGTCGTTGTCCAAAGAAAAACATTTCTCCATTTTGTTTATTTTTTTTTTCTACATTTTTGAACCCAGCACTTGTCCCTAACATTATGCGAAATTCTCAGGATGAATGGACCAATAAAAATGCTCCAAAATCAATTGGAATAAAACCTCTTTACGTTAACTTACACTGAAAGTTAAGAATGTTTTTGCCTCCTGTAAAGTTGCTATTTTGTAGATAGTGACTGCAATGCACACCACTATTGTTGTTATCCAATAATACAGTCCAACTCTAAATGGTGCTCTCTGTATGCAGCTTTTTGACTGGACATACTGTTTTTGTACAATTATTGCTCATTTTTTTTCCCCATAGAAATGAACGGGTGGTGTGCAAAGGTTTGTGCATCAAGCTTATATCATGATGATAGAAATCCATTAATAATACCCTATTAAACATGTGGGGTACATTAGCAAATACCTACCACCACCATCAACCACCTGGAACACCAGAGCGACCACATAGTAACACCCTAGCAACCACTTAGGATACCAGAGCGACCACACAGTAACACCCTAGCAACCACCTGGGATACCAGAGTGACCACACAGTAACACCCCATCAACCACACGGAATACCAGAGTGACCACACAGTAACACCCTAGCAACCACCTAGGATACCAGAGTGACCACACAGTAACACACTAGCAACCACTTGGGATACCAAAGTGACCACACAGTAACACACTAGCAACCACCTGGGATACCAGAGTGACCACACAGTAACACACTAGCAACCACCTGGGATACCAGAGCGACCACACAATAACAGCCTAGCAGCCACCTGGGATACCAGAGAGGCTGCACAGTAACACTCTAGCAACCAACCTAAAATACCACTGTAACCGTGTGGAAACACCCTAGCAACTATCCTGGAACTGGAGCTGCACAATCACTGCATTTTTTCTTTTTTCTCTTTGGACACTGACAATATATTTTGATTTGTGATGCGGAAAATTATTTACTTTTTTTAAACTGCATGAACAGCCTGATTCATTAAAACACCCACGGAGACGCTGTCTGTGTCTGTTAGACAGGAAGCTCAGAGCACACAGTAAAAAACATTACTGGTTATAGTTCATTTGCAAACTGCAGCCATCTCTGGTATCAGTATGAAAAAGGCCAATTTCACACTAAAGTTTAACAAAGCAATATACTGTGCAGCTCAGACCAGCTGCTCCCGCCCAAATCCTGCTTTACGTTGCAATATGAAAATCACAATTACCTGCACAATAATGTGTTGAATGCAGAAAGATTTGCTGATACTGAGACAAACCATGTTCAGTAAGTAATGTAATAATGAAAAGAAAATATGGTTCTACATGAATGTTATTAATCTGATATTCAAATCTAAGAATAAATAGCAGTATGCTGTTTACATAATAACCTAAACATTCAGATTAATGCTGAAATCAGATAATGATCGTATTTTCAGTGTGCATGTAAACACACTCACTCATCTAAAGTTTAAAGAGGAGTTTTCACATTTTCAGCATAAATCAATCGTTATTTTAATTTTAATTTCATATATAATTTTAATTATTCACAGTGGTTTGATGTGAAACGGTTCACTTTAGAGAAACGTACTGTGTCAGATTTCTTTACAGTGGTGGTGACAGGAACCAGGGGTCATGATGGCGCTTATTTATCAAAGTTTCATACAGTCATAAAATGAGCGCAAGCAAATTTTACAGACAGTTTTGTTATTCATCATTCATTTTTATCTTTGCCGCATCTGGACCATAAAGCTCATGTCTGGTCAGAGCGCGTGTATGTTTGAGTATTTGAGTGTATATTTTAATAGTTTAACAATCTGACATAAATGCTTGATTTGCAGTTAACAAACCAAAACTATCATCAACATCATCCTAATATCAACAACAAGAACAAAAGGAGAGAATGACAATAACACTAATCATTTGTGTGGCACAAAAGTGGATGTTCTTATTTTACATGCACATGTTCCACTTAATGACATATTACACTGGGCTTTTGTTTTATACTACTGACTCCGCCCACACAATAAGCATTAACAACACAGCTAGTGCAGAAGCATCTCATACACTGCAATAATACAGCATTTCAATCTGTTATTTACAATCACAACATTATACCGTCATTCTAACTTTTGTTTATTTCATTTTATTCTGTCCAGTGGTCATAATTTTAACACTAGTAGGTCACTGCGCAACCTCAAACACGGCCATTGGGTCACGAGCTGGTGAATGCTGCCGTTTTACTGGCTCCCAACAGAAACACCTGCATGACTTACAGTGTGCTGCATGTAAATGATATGTAAATTAAGTGCTTTTGGGCTGGCGCTTGATTTCACGCGCTGAAGCTGATTCCTCATTTACGCTCAAAACTCTGCTTGTTTTCATGAACCAGACGCAGAGTTGTTTGTACGTCATTAAAGGTATTCATACGTGCTGCTCGGTTTGGGTTCCTATAGATGCCACTGTGAACAATTCTGACTCTGTAAATTTCCCTAAAACAGAGCGTTTCACACCAAACCACTCTGATTGACTCTGTTTACATCTTAACCATTTAATTATGCTGAAATTTTTGACAGTAGCTGGAATTCCCCTTTAAAAAAAAGGAAACTTCACCAACACGCCTTGAAATTCTATACACCTCTTATAAAGTGGTATATTCTTACTTGTCATGCTGGTCTGGGTCTAAAGGCTGATATGTGACTTTGTAGCACTCGATCCTCTTCAGGAAGTCCTCCATCACACTCTCGCGGTTTCTCTCAGGATAGTCTGGGCTGGACACCTTCACGTCCTGGTGGAGAGTTCAGAGACCCAGATTACAGCTTGCATTACTTTTCAAAAGCCTGAAATCAATGTTTTCAACTATTTGAAACCGATTTGGATACAGATAAATATATAAAATTGATTTGGTATGTGAGGGCTGTACAATTTCACAGCTTTCGAATGATTAGTAGGAAGCTGGAAGAATCTCCAGAACGATAAACGAAGCTGTAGATCTCGAAATTTTGTCAGAGACATCCTGCAAATATTGAATAAAACTTTTAAAAGTACCATTTGGTGTCTAATAGTCTAACAGTATTTAAATCTACACTGTAAGTTACGGTGCATACAGTAACACAGATCTTTGTATCTCCATTTTTGTCGTTCTTCAGTTTTTGACATAATTTGAAAACACCTGTTGCCCTTTACATTGTGTGTGATTTTCATGATGAATGGACCTAAAGAAACGGCACAAAATGACTTGGAAAATATTCTGGTTCCACTGACTTACGTTAAAAGTATGTTTTTTCCTTCTCCTGTAAAGTTACCATTTTGGAGACACGAGGTTTTCTTCAGATGCAGAGATATAACAAGTGATTCCAAACTTTTGAAATTTTGAATTTGGAATTAAGGCTTAAGTGAGACATGACACACTGCGGCCAGCTTCCAATCAGCCACTGTGACTCCACCAACCAAAACACACACTAAGCGCCAGATTCCTAAAACGCAGCAGCAGATTTACCAACATGATAAGAACAAACAGCGTGGCGGTAACACGTTTGCTCACTCATAAACGAGGATTATCAGTAAGATTTACCGCTTGCATGACATGAGCTGTGGCCACACTATTATCTTAGTCAAATATGGAGGTGTCAATTTATAACATGACACAACACCCTAAACAATAACGCCTGAATCACTCTGATGGTCATTTTTTTCCCCACTGAGAGGCCGACTCAGCAGATTAACCGATATATTTAAAAGACACGTTTTAATCTGTTTGGATGGAGCAGCTCAGCAAACCGTCTAACTGCTGTTTGTAAGAGAACACGAGAAGAAAGAAGACTTGCTTGAGACGGATTCCAAACATAGTTGTTGTGGAGGACATTATTTAGAGATTCCTCTCACACTTTCGACTGGCACTGAACTGAAAACGGCCTCTTCTTCCTGCGTCAAGTTCCATTGATTGGCCCGTGTTTTAAATTTACAAGGGATTTTACAAAGAAATTCAACTTGCACACGAAAATGACATTTTACCAGCAAAAATTCATTTTTAGAGTCAAAACTAATTTTTTACTGGTCGAAATTTAGTTTTAACTTCACGCGTGTAAGCTGAATTCCTAAGATCAAGAAAAAATACAGGAAATAAAAGCTAAAATTACAATTTCAGCATGTCAAATTAATTTTTAATTGTGCTGAAAAAAGGTGTTAAACTTTAATTCATGTTAGTAAAAAATATTGCAATTATAAGGCATGAATTCTTACCAATGAAAAATGAAATCCTACATGCTAATATATAATTCCTACAATTAAAAGTTGAATTTTAAGAATTTGTACTTATTTTGTCATTTTATCCAGTAGCAACAGCATTTTCTGACACAGAAACTTTGTTTCTTGATTAGAAGTCAAAAGCATCTTTCCCCTCAACTTTGTCGCTGATTTTGAGAATTGAGTTCCTTTGTTTTGTTTCTTTCATCGTGTCCATTTTGGTAGCAAACCGGAGCTTCGCTTAGCAGGTCGTTAATATGTAGGAGCTCATTTACATGTTGATTTTCATTGACTCTTGTCTGGGTGAAAATACTGCAGCGTTTAAAGACGCTGGAACGCTAATCACCGGCACTGTGACTTTATGAATAGCTCTTATTTACTGTGGCGCAGCACTGTTACCGCTGGGTTTTATGAATCTGGCCCATCATATCTAGTTAACATCACTGTTCATTGTTATGAATGAAATTACGTGTTGTAATTAGTGAACCTGAAGTTTGCAGGTAACGACAACTTACCATAATGTTTTCAGCGATGACATCTGGGTCGTCACAAACTGACTCGACAAAAAACACCTGAAAGAGGTGAGTAGGGTTTTCATATTAAAGGAACAGGTCAGAGGAAAATGACACCATTTTCTTTTTACCACAAATGCAGTCGATCAGCCATGGACGAAAATACATCACATAAGTGCATACAGAGGTGTACAGATGTGTAAATCAGGGTTCGTACACTTTTTAAACAGTGGAAGTCCATAACTTTTCCATCACATACATTAAAACTTCCCCAAAGTGATACATGATATTGCTTTAGTGAGTCCCTGTTGTCATGCAGGTTGTTTTTAGTTTTTTTTAGTGTATTTTATTTGTGCACTTTGCTCACGGTATCCAAGCCCTGCCAGCGAACTGCACTGTGAGTTATTTGCTTCAAATCAATAAAAATGAATAATAATATTCTCCCCAGAAAGAAGCACAAAAAATGCAGGTGTCTTTTCTTCAGTCTCCATATTCAGTGTGATGTGGTGTCAAACTGCCTGTCCATAAAGACCCACTCTGCTCCTTCTCTCCATGCAAACCCTGTCATGGCTGAATTCTCTTGGTTCAGACGCTCTGTATAGGCTGCATTAAACGGATGTGCCGTATGTTGTGTGCAGATTTCGAGTAGATGTTTGGTAATCTGCTGTAAACGTGACTCTCCTGTTGATTGTCTCCTGAATAGTATGATTCATTTGGAGGGATTTTTGTGTGTTTGTTTTTTATGCTGACGTGCGATGGAAACTGATCAGCGTTTCAAATATGATTAGATGAATAACCCAGCAGCGTAGCCAATTGGTGACCATTCCAGGAAGTGTGCCCACCCTTCTTGCCACCCCAGATAAACAAAATAAGACAGTCAGCCATCAACAAAGAAGCAGTCGCCACCAGAAAACCTCTGCTTTGCTACTTTGTGTAATCAGCGTATCTCACAGGCGAGCAAACTCTGCTTTAAACCTTAATGTTCTTCTCGTTCGTTTTGCTCAAGGAAGCAGCTAACATTGGCTTTCTACATTAGGAAAACAGTTAAAACCACATAAATATATCTCTACAGTATATTACGGTGTTCTTTGTTACATGTTGTGCAGTATATGAATCGCTGTAACATCACTGTCACTGAAGATGTTCAGTAAACAGTAGAAATCATTTTTAAAAATCTATTTTTCACTTAACGTAATGAAAAACAGGATAAAATCACTTGTTCAGACGTTGTTCTAGAGTGAAACTGTATTTCAAATGTGGTCAACCAGTAAATAACACTAATTATTTGGTTAATCTTCACAGATTTATGACCACACTAGTAATTTGCCCAGTACACTTCAGCAGTGCTGCTCTGTGAGCTACATTATATGAAGCAGGCTGTATGATGGTGAGATGAAGTAAGTAATATCTAATGGTATTTACTATCATGTAGTAGCGTCAGTCGTTTATCGTGTGAGGTAAATACTCCTTACAGCTGAGTACATTCATGTGTTTAATAATGCAGACTAGCTTTCAGAGGCAGATCCAGTGCTGAGCAACAGATCCTGCTAATAGATCAGTTTAATAGATGACTCCTGCTGGTAGTTTAGTTTGTTACCTACACTCGTAAAAAGATGGTCCTTCAAAGGGTTCTTTGGAAAAGAAAATGGTTCGACATAGAACCATGAACACTCAAAGAACCCTATGCATGATTAAAAGGTTCTATGCATCATGAAACGGTTCTTCAGAATGTATTATAGACTGTTGTATACAGATATACAACAACAAAAGGATTCTTCTATTGTTACGATGTCAAGCTTATAACAATGAAGAACCTTTTTAGGTGCTATATAGAACCCTTTTCAAAAAGGTTCTATATAGAACCATCTACAGCTTATTCTCCATCAATCTGAAGAACGCTTTCACAATGCAAAGAACCTTTCAATCATGCAAAGGGTTCTTTGCATGTTCACGGTTCTACATAGAACCATTTTCTTTTCCAAAGAACCCTTAAAGAACCATCTTTTTGTCTCATAATGTTACCTCACACCGTTTTCTCCTAGCAGTTTGCCACCCCAGTTGAACTGCTGGGTCTAACCTGGCAACCCCATTGAAAAGGTTCTGGCAACCTCTTCAGACAAACCACATGGGGAAAAAAGTGCAGGACTTTTCCAACACACTTATTGTTTTACTAGAAAGAAAGCAGATTGAAGGAGAGATGAAAGGGGAATTCCACCCACTGCTCAAAATTTCAGCATAATTAAATGGTTAAGATGTAAACGAAGCCATTCAGAGTGGCTTGGTGTGAGACGCTCCATTCTAGAGAAACTGAGTCAGAATTGCTCAGTGGTGGTGATTGGAACCAGACGTCTAAAGATACGCCTGAATACGCTGCACAATGCCTGAGGCATAGTTTTATGACAGATTTGAGATAAGGTTTTGTCCTTAAACAATTTTTACATTCCTGGCAGGGCGGTACAAGCGCGGCGTTATGAGGCAAAATAACACAATATTCCTGTAAAATCCTGGAATTTCCTGTATTTTCTTCCCCCTGTGGTTTGTCCAAAGATGTTGCCAGAAAAAAACCTCATCAATATTACATATAAACACTCAGAAGACATGTGTAGTTCACTGGTCGTCTTAGATAGTAGATAAAATGGCTACATTTGTGTTGTAGATGCTGTAGACCCCTGGTTCCTATCTCCACCACTGTAAAGAAATCAGTCTGTAACCTTTTCTGCAACTACCACTTTCACATTAAACCACTCTGAATGACTCTGTTCACGTCTCAGTGATTGAATTGTGCAGAAATTTTAGAATTCCCCTTCAATATCTGACAGTGTGAGGCAAATGTGTGATGATTTAGGTATTCAGTTTACACAGTTCTAATTGGTGGGGTATGCGCTTCCACTACTTGTTACTTACTTTAACTTCAGCTGTAAACCCTGTTTAAGCTGATCGACTACATTTGGGGTAGTGAGAAAACTGAAACTGTCTAAAGATTTCTTGCTGTTTCTTTAACAAACACTGACGGTTCACTCAGTGCTACAACTAGGCTTTGTAGAGAAAAGGCCAGCAGGAAACTGACCTTGTACGAATTCTCCTGGGCAAACCCCAGAATGAGGTCCCTCCTCTCTCGAGTTGTGTTGGTGGCATCAAACACCTGCAGAGGTTGACACAGCACTCTAAGACGGCTTTATTTCGGAAACAAAAAGCTGTTTACTTGGTACAAGTACCGAAGAGAGCTTGTGAAAGCACAGTTAAGTTACGCAACATACACAGTTCTTAGCACAATAACCGACTACTTTCTCCATGACTTGACATTTCCATCAGCAGTGCAGACGGTCAGCAGTTTTAAAGAAAAAATGAAACTCACCGCAATCTGACCACCCTCTTCGTTTAGATACACCTTCACATCCTGCAGGGCAATGAGAGCACACTGTCTGAGGAGTGAGAGGCACACAGTTAGCACATCCTTTTTACTGCACAACATTATTTATATTTAACCTTTTTTTGAAGAATAGCAGCATTTAGAACCAGGGGTAGAATTGAGGGAGGTGGGTCTCGGACCTCCCATAAGAGTAAACTTAGGGACCCCCCATATAAGAGAGACAGAATTGAAGTCAGGGGGTCCCGTGCTCTTTTCTCGAATACAATGTGAATTTTCAGAGAAAATGAACTGTCTTACACAAGCTGAGCGTCTCCATCATGTTAACAGTTTCATTACTGTCTTCGGTCAAACTGTAAACTCACCCGGCCCGAATTCAAAACGTAACCGCAATGTAATCTAGTGCACCGAGCCTCACCACTCCCACTTAAAACTGAAGAACTTAAAGCTTGAGTGTTTCATAAACAGAAATAAACACGTCAGCCTGAGTTAAAGAAAGGTTGCTGTGTTGCTGCCGGCAGTGATTTGCATACTGAGAACTTCAAAGGTAAGATATAAGTAAAAAAATTATTTTCTACGCCCACTGTGGCAGTATGCTATAGCTTAAGGTGTGGTTTGGGTTATTAAGTTTGCTGATGTTGTTTTCTTTGTCTTTGTTATATACATCTCTCAGTTCTGTCACAATAATGTTTAGCATATGCAGGATGATGACTGCACTGCTGTCAGCCATAGGCTATAATCTCATATCATAACATAGAGAGTCAATATGCTATTGGTTTTATGCAACCAGGGCAGGTCAACACAATAACCTTGTTTCTAAACAATAACAAATAACTTAACTTTACGTTAAGGTATCTAAATAAAAATGTCTGGGAACTGCCAAGCGCACACCGCCTGAATTAAACGTACAATTAGAGGCATCAAGAGGAGAAAATGAATCTAGTTACCTAAATCACACTAACAGCAGGCTAAAGAATGATACATTATATGTATATATATCTTTTTTTTCTGACATCTGATAAGTTGGAATGGACAAAAACTACCAAAACCTATTAATACAATCATTATTCAACATTTCACATACTGTACTGCACTAAATCCAATTAAACAGGACTAATTACTTCTTTTTACCGAAATATGCAGTTGTTCGTTGTTCTTTCAGTTATGATGATACACATGATATTGTCAAGTAATTTATCACAATAATGATAAATATCGTCATACTGGCCAGCTCTAAGCTCCGCTTACTCACTTCCTGATTTTCATGGCCTCTGCATTGTCGTGTCTGAAGAAGTCGTAGGACTTGTATGACTGGACAGCTTCACGCCGGTACTCTCCCAAGTTGAACACTGCATAAAACAAACAAATGTCAGAAAATTACAGAAATCTGTGTTTAAGATTTGCCAAATCTAGGATTAGCAACAAACATCTGTCAGCATGAACAATACACTAACGTATAAACCTGTCAATCAAAGCACAAAGACTGAAAACAGTAAATGAAACTGGAGTATATTAACAGGTTTATCACAAGCATTTTTCAACGAGAACATGACGAGGTAACAGTTTCAGGCAGCATCTTCACCTTTTGTGGGTACTCCTATCCAGTTGAGGTAGCGAGTCAGCTTCTTGGACATGTAGGTCTTCCCTCTCGCAGGCAGACCAATCATTACAATCATGGTGGAGGTATTGGTCATGTAGGACGCCCATGCTGAAAAAAAGACAAAGATACATTCTACATTTTGTTTATTTTTCACTCTTGGTAATGATTCATTTTTACGATCTCACTTCATCCCTTAGAGCTGCACTATGTATGTTTTGGGGATTTGGAGACCCCTCTGGTGGAAATGTGTAATTGCATGCAACATGCACAGGAACATTTGGTAATATGGGTTGTACTTCTGTCACCTTTCCTGAGCAGATGAATCTGACGACTGCAATTGTGTTGAAAGTTAATTCACTGAGAACTCAGTCGAAACTTGGCGAAGGACGTGTCTCTCTGAGAATGTAAGTGAATGATCCAACATTGTCATCATATCTTCATCAGCATAATGTTGATTTTACATTCGAGACCTAAACATCGAGCCAGACCTTCTTTTTGAGTCTGTGCGCATGACAGTAATATGTAAAGATGTATGATACGGACCAAACAACTCCCGCAAAATCTGAGTCGACCTCACATAATGCAGCGTTAATATAAAGCAGGCTGTTTTTATTACTGTGTCTTCAAGATTGACATGCTTTCAAGATCGGTATATTTAAATGACATCTGGTGAGGCTGACACCTTCACATGTTATGAAGGAAAATAGCACTCAAAAAGCAGCCCGGGTTAAATATGGAACAAACTTTTCAGTTCTGACTGAAACCTTGGCAACGTCATGCAAAATAAACTGCAGCTGCTCATTTCAGATGTGTGGATTCTCTGGAAGGCTGTAATGATCAATTAGCTTCCTGACAGCCAGGAACAGCACGACATTTAATTGTTTTCCCACATCTTCCACTCTAATAACTACAGAAAGAGACTGTCTACATGAACAATATTCCACATTACTTCAACTGGAATGCACAGAGCTAAACCGCTGAATGTCCAGTTATATACAAATGTCATGTCTAAGATAAATTCAAAACTTCATAAATAAAAGCCTGTTTTATTTATGCTAATTTCTGATAACTCCCCTATGGCATTTATTACAGCAGCTGACACTATTGCACACAAGCATTTTTGGCCTTTCTTGCTCAAACACGGACATTTGAAGGCTGTGAGAGACATTTCATATGTTTTATTTGAAGCTTTTAACAGTCATTAACATATATCTTAATTTGTACGTAGCAGTAAGGAGTCCTGACATAGAGCTGCTGCCACTGTTTTCCATTTCCAACAACTAACTGGAACCTGGTTAAACTACAGCTCATGTTCACAGTTATTCACCTAAAACTTGCAGAAGGCCTAAAGTGTTGTTTTTACTCACAAAATTGGTTGTACCCATTGGAAATCATATTGTGGTTGGTTGATTCCTCTCTCTATTCCTAATTAGGTGGTAGTTAATCTAATATGTAAGGCCTTCAGTTCAGCTCCTGAAGTCCTAACCAATGGGAGAGCATGCTGGGCTGTATCTACCTAAACACCAAGAAAAAATCCTGACTGGACAATTTTCCATTTCAACATTTTAGCCCTTTCCACTTCCTTTCTTTAACCAAAACTTAAGAAATAAGTAATAATGAAATAATATTACACAAAATGTCCGACCTATTTTAGCTCCCAGAAATCAGCAGGCCTTCACTAGAAGGCCTTGAGGGTTCCACTATGATGGAGTGAGGAGTGAAAGGTATGTTTTAAAACTTAAAGCCCAATCCCATTTCTTATTTCACCCCTACCCCTTGTTTTCGAGCGTCACCTTGATTCTTGGAACTGAGTTAGAAGGGGTAGTGTTTGAAATGTTCCCTATGAAATGGGACTCTCAAATAACAAAGAACGTTACTTCATTAACAGGCTATTAGCGGATCTCTGCAGGCGACCCTGCCCGTCTGCAGTGATAGCAGAGCAGTAAAGTTCAGCAACATCACTGCTGGGCTTTAGTTACATTTAGGAAATCAGTTGTCTATTATCACCCACCCCTAATTCGTCTGTGATATGAAGCTGAAGTCAGCTATTCACCAGCTTTTTGTTCAAATATTTCCGTTACACCTTAAATAGTGCAGCAGTTCTGATGCCTGAGGCACCAGAAGGTAACTGCTGCACCATTTAAGCTGGAACAGGAAATTACTAGCAATTTTTATGCTTGTTAAGAGGAAAAAGACCATAATGCACTGAAATGACCTTAACAGTAGCCCTAATAGTTCGGCTTAGTTCGGGCTGGGAGCAGTTGTGGGCTGGAGGTTAGGGGACCAACCTTGTGTCCGGAAGGTCGACGGTTCGATCCCCTGAGCCGACAGTACGTGACTGAAGTGCCCTTGAGCAAGGCACCTAACCCCCAACTGCGGATAGGGCTGCCCACTTCTCTGGGCAAGTGTGCTCACTGCCCCCTAGTGTGTGTGTTCACTAGTGTGCATGTATGTGGGTGTTTCACTGCACGGATGGGTTAAATGTGGAGGTCTAATTCCACTGTGTGCAAAACACAGTTGGCTAAAGGTTCTGAATTGAATTCAATTCTATACGTGGTACTGGCAAGGGGTGAAATGGGACTGAAATTAAGAATGTTTAAGAAAATATAGTTTCTGTGGGTCCTTTAAGACATTGTCACTGTTGTCTGTACTACACATAATATCTCTTGGAAATGATTCATCAGGTAATCAGCTCAACAGGCCTGCTGGTTCAACTCATAAAACATCTGTGAGCTTATTAGACCTCACGGCCACCTGAAATGATGGTCTCGCATAAGGCAGTTCAGGCTAAAAGTTGCTTCAAAATGTAATCTTCTACTACAAAATATCTACTCAAACGTCATGGACCATCTTCACCTGCTCTGAGTGCTGTAAATAAATTACTAAGCTCATTCTGTTTAAAGGGTGGGCAAATCTAGAGCTCATCTGAGCATTCAGCTTCCATATTTAACCAACCATTTATCCATTTTAAGGTCAAAGGTTCCTTCTTTTAAATCATTGCTTGAGAAACATTCTTGGTGCTAGACTGAAGGTTTCAGATTGTTTTTCCATCCCAAACTCTTCGTCTGCACGTGACAAAAGTCCTTCACGTGGCTGCTACCTAGCAACCACCACTTCATGTTTGCTTTCCCTGCGAGAGAAATTGGATTCTGAGCAAAGCCAGACATATGAGTCTGAAATGTGAGGTTTGGGAGTAATTAAGCACAAGCTTATTCTTTGGCTGAACGCATCACTTCATGCTATTAGGGCTTATTGCTTCTGAATCCTGCTCGGTTTGGCGGATGTCTTTCTGTTTCGAGATGCACTGTCTGCCTTGATGTCATGCAGATATCAGCTTACGGCAGGTCATTCTAGAGCAGTTTCTCAGGCCCAGTGCTGTGAGACCCTCGCACAGAGGGGATTACTGCTCTAACACAGCTTCGTGAAGGCTCTGATAATCAGTTGATGGGTTGTGTCAGGTGTGTTAGAGAGGAAAAAGCACTAATTTGTGCAGTAAAGGGTCCATGCAGGACTGGAAGCCACCTCAAAAGTTAATCAACTAACAAATGCACCAATCATCCTCATCATTAATCATTTATAGGGTACACCCTGGAAAAACGACTGAGCCGTGTATTGTGAAGAAACACTATATGGTGCCAGTAGTACTTGTCTGAATAGGCAATAGCTTAAAGAAGAATTCCACCAATTTTGAAACATTTCTGCATAATTTATTCTTTGGCAAACAGTGGGGTTCAAAGGTCTGAGACCCACTGAAATTAAAGCCTGGAAGTAAACAGAAAGTTTTAGAATTTTGAAAAATAGTAAACAAAGCAAAGTTATGTCAAATGAAATGGAGAAGAATTATTCTGCACAGATATAGTCATTAGGTCACTATTCAAATTTCAGCAAATTTTCCCTTAACATGCTCAGTGAAATACTGCTCCACTGACCATTTTAAGGCCTTTGTAAGAAAGGTCAGGATTTTTTTAGTCTCATCTTCCACTGAAGCTTGCGTTTAGACCACTTTCAGTTGTATTTGATCTACTAATCAGAGACTTGGAGTGTTTCGAGTGCACACTGTCATTAAGGGGGCACTAAAATACTAAATAATAACACTAAAAAATACTGAAAATCATGTTAAAATTTCAAAGCTTCCACTTTAGACTCAGACTGTTATGCTGATAACATAATTTGTAATGCAATTTCACAAAGTCAGTGTTTTCAAGTGAAAGGGTGCACTGTAGCAACTCGACTTTCTTTGCAGTTAGGGATGTCCCAACCTAATTTTGCCCCCCAATCCAATCCCAGTACTTTAATGTTGAGTATCGGCTAATGTTGATCTGATCAAATCTACAGCCACATTATTTAGGTATGATATGTTGCTTCCAATTAATATGACAGTTAAATTAAGTTTTTAGTGCATACATAATGTGACATTCTGCACTGATATGTTTAGTTTTTTTGACCGACTCATTTTGATGTGTTTAATAATGACTTATGATCCAATCTGATTAACCTCCCTACTGTTCTATTAATATTCTGCAGTGAAACCACTTTATTTTTGTATGTGCTTAGTAGTAACCATTTTAAAGAGCTGTGAATACAGTATGATTTCATACTGCTTTAATGCACTAGAAGAAGAACAGCTGCCAGTAAAGCAGAAAGTTTCTGTGACAGTTTCGTTTTCAGCTGACTCGCGAGTGAAATCAGTTACAGGAGGCACCAGTGGCTTCTGGTGGCATGGCGCTTGTGCTAACTGCCAGAAAGTAGGCAGGAAGTGTAACAGCAGCTTTCTCACATTTTACCTGCCAACATTTAGACAAACCTTGGCTAGTTCAGACACAGTGGAAACACTGGTGCTGCAGATATTGCAAGTTTTCATGTATGACTGTGACTGTAAAACAGTTCCACACTGAAGACACTTCGACCTTCGGAAAACACACGTCATGTAGATGGCAACTGCGAAGAGGCTTTATAATATATAAAATACCATTTAATATATATAAATACCATTTAACAGGCAGGGGTCAAAACACAAGCAGGCAATAGCAAAGGCAGAACCATGTTCCCATAACCAGGAGGGCAAATCAAGGGTCAAAAACAGGAACACAAGAACAGGCTTAGAAATTCAGGTCAACAACACAGAGACTTTGCCAACACAAAGGTCAAACAAAGAGGTATATATGAGGCAGATAACAAGTCCAGGTTCACTTGTAGGTGTGAAAGTGGGAGGAGCCAGGGAAAGTCCAAGTTAAATCTCCACAGAGGGCGGAGACCACGTGACACCTCACTGCACAGGTTGTGGATAATGTCCATTTAGGGCACCTCTACAAAATGAATATGTAAACAAAGGACTGGAACTGTACTGGGTTTAGAATAGCCAATGTTAGACCTGGGCGATAAGTCGAACTAATCAGATATCAGAGATGACGGACAAGTAACCCAATGACCATACCTTAAAGGTTATAATCACCATATTGGGAAAAAGATCTGACAGAGAACTAAAGAGGAGTGATTTACTTTTACACAGCTTGATAAAAAAACATTAAATAATATGTACACATGAGGTTTTGCACTTTACTGTTAAAACATGTTCTTAAGGGGCCTTAAAAGGCTTCCAGATTACAGTAAATTTCCTGCTGTCTCTGCTGTGGGCTTCTGCAGTAGTGCTGGTGTATCGGTCTATAGGCCTGTAACTGCACCTCTGAGTCATCATCATGATGATCTCCATGGACAATCTACACCTCATCCACATCTCAGCAGACTCACTCTAATGTTACTGTGTCTTAATCTAACAAATCTATACCTGGAAATACAGATTTGACATCTTGTACATCTACTATATCTTGTATAATCTAGAATATATATATATTTATATATCAATATTCAATCCCCTATACAACCTGCTTCTTTTATCTACCTCAGACTCACTAACTGCATATATGCAAATGTGTATAACTGTACATATCACAGCTTTTGTTTCATAACCTATATTACTGTTACAAAACTGTACACTGGGAATGGTGCAATACTTATTTTACGAACACTTACGTGTTCTTCTGTCGCAGCTGCTGACTGAAAAGCTGCTCAGTGGTGATGACAGTTTGGGAATTTAATGTAGTCTCATCTTCAGAGTCTGACCAAATCGGCTGTCGGTCAAACGTGATCTTAAGTATCCATTTTCTGTTTGTGGCACAGTAAGAAGTAAAAAGGTTCAAATGGCTTGAGTGTCTCCTACAGCTGTCAAAGTCGTTGCTTAGCAACGGCGTCTCAGGGGAGTGATACAGTGTTTGTGAAAAAAAGATTTTTCACAAACACTGTATCATAAGAACACTTCTCAACCAATCAGCTTGCATGGCTGGAACTAACTGTTTTATAATGGTGTATATTAATGTGTATATTTAGAGTCAAATATATAAATATATATATTTATATTTTAAAATATTTTTGTATTTAAGTACTACAAGGAGATTTTCACTCATCTTCGCACCTGTGTTAATCCGATGTGACAATAAACGTGATTTGATTTAATTTTGATTTGGTTTTTTATGTAATAAGCCTAAGGGGTTAAACTCTGCAGACGTCTGGTTCCTATCACCACCACTGTGAACAATTCAACAATTTTGACTTGATTTCTCTAGAATGGAGCATTTCCCAACAAACCATAAATCTTTTAATTATGAATAAATAAAAAAAATGATGGAACTCCGTGGGCAGAGACTACATGCAACTGACCAGTATTGCCCTTTGCATAGCATTATGTAGGCCTAGCACATACTGACAGTATACAGTAGCAAGACAACCTTCAAACTCCTTTCTCTCCACTCATTACCCAGGTTTCAGAGACAAGATCTAACCTGCTAATCAAGCAGCATGACGTACCGACATTCCTCACTCAGAAAACCAAATTCCAAACTCACTAAGGATTTCTTTTCAGCATGAATGAACAAGTTACAGCACTGCTGACTAAAAATGACCAGGACACTTTTTAATCTACTGGGAGAACTGCAGAACAAACTCATCGTACAACATAACAGACCGCAATGATTTGAGGTCTGGCAGTGTCAGCACCGCGTATCTGTGTAGATAAGGTGCCACTTGTAAATAAATGTAAAGGAGCTTATTAAGCTTTACTCTGACCTTCTATTCACATGATTTGTATTAGCTCACGCTTAAAAAAGAGCGTTCTTTAAGGGTTCTTTAGTAAAGAAAATGGTTCTATAAAGAACAAGAACGCTTTGCATGATTAAATGGTTCTCTGCATCATGAAAGCGCTCTTCAGATTGATGGAGGATGAGCTGTAGATGGTTCTATATAGAACCTTTTTGAAAATGGTTCTATAAAGCACCATAAAGCGTTCTTCTATTGATTACAAACTTGACATCGTAACAACAGAAGAACCTTTTTTGGTGCTATGTAGAACCATTTTCAAAAAGGTTCTATACAGAACCGTATATAACATATTCTCCATCAATCTAAGGAACGCTTTCACCATGCAAAGAACCATTTAATTATGCAAAGGGTTCCTTGAGTGTTCATGGTTCTATACAGAACCCATTTTTTAACTAAAGAACCTTTGAAGAACCATCTTTAGAAAGAGTGTATAGAACTACATTAATGTGTTAGAACAGTTCCTGCCCTAAGAACAACTACCACAAACTGCTACAATCATCAGGCGTCCCACCCAAACACTCACTCAAGTCTCCCATTAGCGCTACTGAATGGTGGCTGCCAATTAAAGCCCTATCAGAGACAACACACAGCTGCCTCGAGGCTGTTATAAAGCGCTGATGTCACTGGTTCACTGTTCAAACTCCTCCTATCATCATGGAATAAACAGTCTCGTCCAACTTCCCTTCCAGGCCTAATTAGATTAAAACAGTCATGACGACTTGATGAAATCCAACAGCCTTTGGCTGAAACATGACCAGGTGTGTGCGGCATGCGTGGTGTCGCCTACTGACTGAACTCACCTCCTGACTACTCATCGACTAACGCTGTAATGATGTCTATCTGTCAGCGCACAATATGCACACAGCACTGTGCTAAGTCACACCGCTGACAACCAAGGAGAAGACCTTCCCATCTTGTCAGTGGAGTGACCCGTATTTACAGATGACGGGTTACTCCACTGACAGGCTAGGAATGTTTTTACTGTGGCGGGGTCGGTGGGGTGACTTTGGAAAGTGTTGTGTGCACCGTGTGTGGTAGGTGTAGCCATAGCAATGATCTCAGATCAGTATATACAGATATATTATATATATATATATATATATATATATATATAGCTGTTGTCGGAACAAAACCTTGTATCTCCATTTTTTTCAGTTTTTGCCATAATTTGAAAATGCCTGTTGTCCTTTACATCATGTGTAAATTTCAGAAAGAATGGACCAAAAGAAATGACCCAAAATTACTTGAAAAAAATTCTGGTTCCATTGACTTCCATTAAAAGTAAAGTAGGTTTTTTCCTTCTCCTGAAAAATTATCATTTTGGAGATATGAGGTTTTCTTCTGACAACAGTCATATATATCAGGTGGGTGTGTAAGAAGGGGGAATTGTGGTGGGCATGGGAGAAAAGCCTTACAAAAAAGGAACATCTATGATAACATTTATGATACTTATACTAATGTATAGTAAACTAATGTATAGTATACTAATGTATAGTAAACTACAGTAATGTAATAGTCCGACACACTCTTAAACACTCTTTAAAAAGATGGTTCTTCAAGGGTTCTTTAGTAAAGGGAACAGTTCTATTTACAACCATGAACACTGAAAGAACCATATGCACGCTTAAATGGTTCTTTTCATGGTGAAATGGCTCTTCAGATTGATGGAGAATGTGTTGTATGCGGTTCTACATAGAACATTTTTGAAATACAGCACCAAAAAGGGATGCTCTTGTTAGAAGCCTGACATTCTGTATAGAATCATACACAACCCATTCTCCAGCAATCTGAAGAACCGTTTCACCATGCAAAGAACCATTTAGGCAGATGATTCTATGAGTGATAATGGTTCTGTATTACTAAGGAACCCTTTAAGAACCATCTCCTTGAAGAGTGGGAGTATCTATCAGAAAGTCCTGTAGTGTTACTACTTACAGCATTTCTTCTCGTTAGCTCTGCCCTCAGTCTTCCTGCTGTCGGTGGGTCTCTCCGCGGCTCTCGGCGGGTCTACCTCCCCGTTGCCCGGGTCACCGCCGCCGGCCAGCGAGCTCATTGTAGCCGGGGTGTGGAGGCTGGATTCAGGGGAGAGGAGAGCCTGAGCCCGGGGGGTTTACCTCCATGTCTAACGCCTTGTGGTCACCTTGCAAACTCCTCTGACACTCAGTGTGATCAAATTACTTACCTGGCATAGAAAAGACTAAACGCTTGGAGGCGGTTTACTCCATCGGTCACGTCTGACTTTCTGAACTTTAATTCAAAGCGAGCTGCGACTCCGTCAATCTTTGTTTTGGTTTCAGGAAGAGCTGCTCGCAGCTGGCCGCGTTTTGGAGGGGCGGGGCTAAGCGCACTCCGCTGATTGGCTGCGATTCGCGGCGTTCGGAGGCGTGCCCGTCGCTGGTTGGCTGAAACACGCGTCAATCAAAAACTCAGCCTTCATTCTCGTTTTCTTTCTCTTTCCTGAGAGCTGAACTTGACTCTCAATGTCACCGCATTCACCCTGATTTAAAACTCGTTTGCGGCGCCTGGTCTGACTCAGAGAGGCCGAACAGAGCCAGCAGTGCAATATTCGTGATGAAAGTGCCTGGGTTAGTTATCTGAGCGCTGTGCAGGCCTTTCCTGTGGCTGTGAAAAAGTTATTGCCCCATAAGCCTAAAGGTGGCACAACCTTATATGGCACCCTTAGCCTTATGGGGCAGTTACTATCAGTAACAACTGCAATCAAACGTTTGTGATCACTGGTGATGAGTCTTCTACACAGCAGTGGAGGAATTCTGGCCCACTCTTCTTTGCAGAATTGTTTTAATTCGGCTACATTGGCGCATTTTCCAGCAAGAACTGACCGTTTAAGGTCTCTCCACGGCATCTCAATGGGGTTCAAGTCAGGACTTTGAGTCGGACACTCCAAAACCTTGATTTTGTTTGTTTTAAGCCATACAGAGGTGGACTTGCTTGTGTGCTTTGGATCATTGTCCTGGTGCATTACTCCACTGTGCTTGAGCTTTAGGTCACAAACTGACAGCCAGACATTCTCCTTCAGGAATTTCTGATACAGAGGAGAATTCATGGTTTCATCAATTATGACAAGTCGTCCAGGTTCTGCATCACACTACCACCACCATGTTTCACTGTTGGTATGATGTTCTTATGGTGAGATGCGGTGTTAGCTTTACACCAGCTATAACGGGACCCATGTCTTCCAAGAAGTTCCACCTTTGACTCATCAGTTCATAGAATATAATCTCAAAAGTCTTGGGGGTCATCTAGATGTTTTTTGGCAAATGCGAGACAAGCCTTTGTGCTCTTTTTGATCAGCAGTGATTTGCGCCTTGCAACTCAGCTGTGGATGCCATTTTTGCCCAGTGTCTTTCTTATTGAGAAATCGTGTACATTGACCTTAACTGAGGCAAGTGAGGCCTGCATTTCTTTAGACGATCATCTGGGTTCTTTTGTGACCTCCTGGATGAGCCGTCGATGCGCTCTTGGTGAAATTTTGGTGGGCCGGCCACTCCTGGGAATGTTCACCACTGTTCCAAGTTTTCTCCATTCGTGGATAACGGCTCTCACTATGGTTCACTTTCAAGTTTCTTTCACTTTCAAGATGGTTAGATTTCAAAGACTTTGTTTCGCATCTGTATTAAAATCTCTTTAGAATGTGACATCATGTGCTGCTTTTTGAGAACTTCTAACCTGCTTCACACTGCCAGAGAGGTTCTAAGTGATGTTTAGATTAAACATGTCTGGCAGTAATCATGCCTGGGTGTGTCTAGTGAAATTAAACCCAGTATCTTAGTCAGTATAATGTGGATTTTGTATTTGAGACCTAAACATCGAGCCGGACCCTCTTTTTGAGTCTGTGTGTGTGATGTTAATACATAAAGATATATGAATTAGCCTGAAAAACTCCCAACTTGACCCCTCTGCCTTTTAAATGAATATGTCAGGCTTTAAAGGACGACTTACAGCAGCGCACAATCACCATATTTTAGTGTTTTTACTCTCCTGACTAAGTGATGCTACTTCATTCAGTTTTAACACATACGTAGTGCTGCTAATGCTAGTATTTTGAACATTTTGCATATTTAATAAAATAATTGTTAAAATGTAAACGAAGTCATTCTGAGTAGTTTCATGTCTTTCATGATAGTTTTGAGAAGATTTTGGCCTAAAATGTATTTTTATTGTGGAGAAGTACATGTAGGACTTTGTGAGCCCCCAAAGAAAACTATTTTTTTCAGATTTACCTGTATTTTACCATCATCAACATTACAAATAAAAACACAGAACTCACGTGTAGGTTCACTGGTCATTGTGGACAGTAAATAAACTGGCTATATCTGTGTTAGAGACATCGTGACCCATGGTTCCCATCACCACCACTGTAAATAGTCTGTAGCTTTTTTTACAATTAACCACTTGTAAAATTACATAATAAACTTTATGCTCATTTAAACCATTTACAGTTTGCTGCATTGTTCTGTTATGATTTACAAGTGGAATAAATCATTTTAAAATCAGATGAATCTTTTTGAATCACACTGTATTTTAATTTTCTTTTAGTATTAGCTCACTTCACAATGCACTGCACTACAGTCCCCAGCATGCACTGCAACGTAGTGTGTGCTCCAACTCTCCTACCCCAACAACAGTCTATGGGACAGCGGTTACATCTCAGTTCTACACAATTCTGCACAGTTCCACACCAGTTGTATCATCAAACACACTAACTGCAGTTCAGCCAATGTAACGTCAGCTCAGCAGCTCAGAAATTGAGCCCAAGTCTGAATGAACTTCCATCCATCCATCATCTAAACCGCTTATCCTTCTGGGTCGCGGTGGGGTGCTGGAGCCCATCCCAGCTGTCATTGGGCGGAAGGCAGGATACACCCTGGACAGGTCGCCAGTCCATCGCAGGGCAGACAGACAGACATACACATTCACACACTCACTCCCACCTAGGGGCAATTTAGCATATCCAATTGGCCTGACTGCATGTTTTTGGACTGTGGGAAGAAACCGGAGTACCCGGAGGAAACCCACGCAGACAACATGCAAACTCCACACAGAAATGACCCTGGTCGCCCGGCCAGGAATCGAACCCAGGCCATTCTTGCTGTGAGGCGACAGCGCTACCCACTGCGCCACCGTGCTGCCCGTCTTAATGAACTTGCAGCAAAGAAAAGATGCCAGGTGTCCAGTTCAATCAGATAGGTAGGTGTAAAAGACTGAGCTCCTGGGGACATTTACATTTGGAATATTTCAAGTATTCACATAATATTTCAAGGTCTACTACAAGTGCCTTACTGCTGAAGTTTTGGCGTATTTTGAATAAACTATGGTCAGTTCAGTTTAGAGCAAAATGTTAATTAAAAATGAAATAAAACATAGTCGTTCTCTGGCCCACAGATCTGTTGAGATTTTTTAATATGGCCCTTTTAGTGGTTGAGTTGACACCCCTGCTTTACAACAGGTCAAAGTGCGAATTAAATGTGAAGTGCTGTAGCTCCTCTAACACTGCAGTTCGACTCATATGTGATATATGGCCTGTTATGCTCTTCTGACCACATTTGCCATTAACTACAGTCAGTTTCCATGATGTTCTGGAGAAAGTGTTTATTAAACTACTCCTGCTATGCTCAGACAAACGCAGCCCCGCTCCACCCCTCCATCTAACCTCAATAAGGACTTGTTGTAGAGAAACACAGGCTGGGCTCTGGCCTTTGTTTGGTTTGACACTTTGGCAGAGGAAATGTTGCTCCACAGTCGCATACTTGGTCATTCTGCTTGCTAAATAAGGCCTCCCTCTCGCGGCTCCTGCAGGCATCGGTGTGGCTCTTTGTGAAAACACACGGAGGTTTCTCAGGATGTGTGACGGCGGGAGCCAACAGATTCCTTTGCCTTGTATGGATAAAGGCCTCTGAGCCCGGCTGTTGACCTTATTGGCTGAGTCTGGAACAAGGGAGGTGGTGAAAAGACGCTGAAACGTTAAACAAACGTCCCGGGCCGCCCGAGGAGCAGCACCCGAGACCGAGGCTCACTCTGAAGCTGTTATCACTCAAGAACGAGGTGAGCTTTTACGCTGATGCTGGTGTTCATCCCTTTAACCTGCAGGCTTGTTATCCTCTTAACTTGAAGGCTTATTATTTAACACTGCAAAGTACTCAGCAATTGTTTGTTATCACATAAGTGCATGACTGGGAATGGATCATCAACGGCTGTAAAATGGAGCTGTTTGATAAAGAAGCTTTGTTTGGGAGATTAACTCTTGCAGACTCATTATTCATGCATTAAGACTAATAACTCAGTAACTACTACAAACTATTCAGTAATGAAGCTGATCTATTAGTTGTGCATTATGCATTTATGAGAGTGAGGATCTTCAAAGGTGTTCATGTTTAAAAATAAGGTGTTGCAAGAAGTGTTATGTAATTTGCAGGGCTGGGATGTCAACAAAATACAAGTAACTGTACTATGCATTTAAAATACAGTAATTAAGTATATATAATTAGTCCAAGACATTTTGAAAAGGCTGTACAAAGAATACAGTTACGTTTTTAAAAGAATACTTTTAGAATACATAAAAAATGAGTAGACGGACTCTAAAGAAGAATTTAACAAACGGCATCTTTACACACAGTGTAATTCTACTAAAGCCTGAGTAGACTGATAAATCAATGTGATGAGCCAGTTATTTATCTCACTGTTAAGCTCTTTTAAGGGATGATGGAACTGAACAGTGTCCTCGTTGGTGTTGTGCTGGACTCGTGGCCCGATGTTACATACGTTTCATTAACTAAAATCTGCTACCCATTTAACTGTGAATTACAAAACGATGGCAGCAGTTATGAAGAGCTATTCTATAGGTATTGTAAACAGTGTTGCTTTTTAACAGAACAGTGTATTCAGTATTCTGTGCTTTCTCACAGTGTTCTGCTCAACTCTGGTCATCTGTAGGAAGATCAGTTTGATTGTTATGTTGCTATTGTAAAGCATGGTCAATAGCACAGCATTAAAATGTGAAGAATAGTGTGTTGTATCTGCTGTCTATTTTGGCTGGGATGCTTTTTTGTGGTCAGAAAAGTAGCAAATATTGTGAGTGTACACGTTGTGAATCACATCGCTGTCCAAAAAAAAAACTTTTTTTTATTTTTGTTTTTCTACATCATTTGAGCTGCCCTTTACATTGTGTGAAAATTTCATGATGAATGGACCAATAGGAATGCTCCAAAATTGCATGGAAAAAAATCTCTTTACATTAACTTACATTAAACGTTAAGAAGGTTTTAGCTGCTTCCTGTAAAGTTACCTTTTTTTTCTCTGGTCAGTGACAATATCCATATTATTTCAATGACCAGCCAGCCACACTAAGGCGGTGTTCAAATATATAAACAAACAAACATACAAACATACACACAGTGGTTATACAGAAGCGTCCTTTCAACTTCTTATTCAGCACCAGTGCGGTGGTAGCTGACCCTGGTGGAGAACTGCTTCAGAGGCTGTGATCAGTTCAGGCTGATAAGCTGCTGCTGGTCTCAGGAGACTGACCGTATCTTCTGCTTGAGGTTTGGGGAAAGCAGCGCTTAACCTTTTGAAGCCTGGAGCTGTTCCTGCAGTGTTTCTACACTGTTTCAATCATTGCTTTCAGTACAAAACCTCCAAAAAAGTAACTTTTTGGAAGACATACGTAGTTAATGTAACAAGATTTTAAGTCATTTTGCATCATTTCTTTTGGCCCATTCATCATAAAATTTTGAGACAGTGTAAAGTTTAGAGGTTTTTAAATGGCAAAATGGCAAAAAAGGTTTTTATTTTGACACCAGTGTAATGTTATTACATAGTAAGTAGTTACATAGTAAATTACATTTACATTCAATTTGCGCTCTTTTCTTTTCTTCGTTTCCATTTGTTTCAGTATCAGACGATGAATGTAAATGATTTTTTTGCTTTCTGCAAAACAATAACTTTTCACCAAATTCAACTTATAGTAAATATCTCCTCTTCTAGAAACAAACACGAATGTAGTGCAGATTGAAAGTGTGGAATCTGCACTTTCAACAGAATTTAAAAGCTGGTTTAATGAGCCGCGAGTGAGAAATGATTGATATCTACTTTTACTGGCTGGAAACATAATTTTCAGTCACTCTCTCTCTCTCTCTCTCTCTCTCTCTCTCTCCCTCTCCCTCTCCCCCTCCCTCTCCCTCTCCCTCTCCCTCTCTCTCTGGGTGGGTACAAAGGCCCACCCTCTCGCCCATCATTCAGAACAATGCTATTATGTTAGTTCAGCCTTCCTCAAACTGTGGGCCACAGTCCCCTGGGAGGCCACAGGGGGGCACTGAGGGGGCTGCGGAACAATCTCAGAAGTTGTATCTCTACTCATTTTTAATTTTGTCAATATTTAGGTTTTATATACATGAAAGGCAAACAAACCTGCAGGGATGTCGTATTTTTATTAAAGTAGAAATGATGAACACATTTGAATCAGTGTTCCTACAATGGCTTTTCTATTAGGAGGTAATACTGACTGGTCAGTGGTGGTCTTATGGTGGTCCTCTGATGGGTGGGGGTAAAGGGGGGTAAATTGTACAGATGAGCTACGATCTGTAACTGTAAACTTATAAACGGAAACATTATGTCTAAATGACTCCGGTTCTGTTGTGGATTTGGTTCTAGACCCATTCTCTACTCTGAGATGAGTGTTTATTAACTACTCTTCATTTTCATTAAAAGGCCAGAAGTCTTCAGCCAGAATGTCCGCAGCCAAGCGCGCCAAGGGGAAGACCACGAAGAAGCGCCCCCAGAGGGCGACTTCCAACGTCTTCGCCATGTTCGACCAGTCGCAGATCCAGGAGTTCAAGGAGGCCTTTAACATGATCGACCAGAACCGAGACGGCTTCATCGACAAGGAGGACCTGCACGACATGCTGGCCTCTCTCGGTAACTGAGGAGAGGAGCAGTGCAGCATGAGTCTCTCTCTCTCTATCGCATCTCTCTCTATCACATCTCTCTCTCACTCACATTCTCTCTCTCTCTCTCTATCGCATCTCTCACTCACTCTCTCTCTCTCTATCGCATCTCTCTCACTCTCTCTCTCTCTCTATCGCATCCCTCTCTCACTCACACATTCTCTCTCACTCTCACTCTCTCTCAATCACATCTCTCTCATTCACACATTCTCTCTCTCTCTCTATATCGCATCTCTGTCTCACTCTCACACACACTCTCTCTCTCTCTCTATCGCATCTCTCTCTCACTCACACTCTCTCTCTGTTGCATCTCTCTTTCACTCGCACACTCTCTCTCTATCACATCTCTCTCTCAAGTTCTCGCTCCCTCTTTCTATTGCATTTCTCTCTCTCTCACACTCTCTCTCTCTATCCCATCTCTCTCACTCTCTCTCTCTCTATCTCATCTCTCTCTCAATCTCTCTCTTTCTATCACATCTCTCTCTCACTCACTCTCTCTCTCTATCGCATCTCTCTCTCAATCTCTCTCTCACTCTCACACTCTATCGCATCTCTGTCAATCTTTCTCTCACTCTCTCTATTGCATCTCTCTCTGTCGCAACTCTCTCTCTCACTCTCACACACTCTCACACTCTCTCTGTCTGTCACATCTCTCTCACTCATACTCTCTCTATCGCATCTCTCACTCTCACACACTCCCTCTATCGCATCTCTCTCAATCTCTCTCTGACTCTCTCTATCGCATCTCCCTCTCTCTCTCTCTGTCGCAACTCTCTCTCTCTCTCATCAAATCAAATCAAATCAAATCAAATACGCTTTATTGGCATGACAGGATATGAGACCTGTGTTGCCAAAGCTGTAAATACATGTTACTCTCTCACTCTCACACACTATCTCTCTCTATCGCATCTCACTCATTCTCTCTCACTCTCTTTCTACCTATCTCCCTCTTGTTCTTTCTGTTTCTCTTTCCTTTCTGTCTAGATTTTCTCTTTATTTCTCTTTCTCCTTCTTTCTTTGTCTCTGTCTTTCTCTATTACCTTTTCCCCTACTTTCTCTCTCCTGAGCTCTGTCCTCTCTCTCTCTCTCTCTCTCTCAAATCAAATCAAATTAATCAAATAAAATATAATATATATATATATATATATATATATATATATATATATATATATATAGTTCTTTTTCTTTCTGTCCTCCACTTTCTCTTGTTCTCTTTCTCCCTCCTTTTATCTCTCTCTCTCGGGAATTCAAGAGGTTAAACTAAGAACCCTTTTTGGCATGTCACCTCCATCTTTTTAAGGTTCTGCCTGTGTGTTTCAGGAAAGAACCCCTCGGACGAGTATCTGGAGGGCATGATGAGTGAGGCTCCGGGTCCCATTAACTTCACCATGTTCCTCACCATGTTTGGGGAGCGGCTCAATGGAACAGACCCCGAGGACGTCATACGCAACGCCTTCACCTGCTTCGATGAGGACGCCTCAGGTAGGCCTGGCTTTTCATGGTCTGCGTTGATGGAATGGTGTCACATTGTTTTTGGTTGACCGACCGTGGCTGATGACTGACGGTGCTGCCGGAGAACCTGGGAACTCAGTTTTAAAGCTGAATGGACACGTTTTTCCTCCTTAGCCTAAACAGAGCCGATCAGCCGAGACATGTTTGGTGTCCAAAGTCTGCTTTTTCAGTTGTGCACTGGAGCTACGAGGCTAATGTAGCTAACAAGTGGAAACTGCATGTCTGAATCACCACACACTTCTCTCTCTCTCTTTTTTCTAACATCGAGTTGTTAAGCAGTTTCAGGTAGCACTGTTGGAGAGTTGGTCCGCTGATAGCAAAACAGCTTTCCCTAAACATCCTCCCCACAGTGAGGTGGAAGCCAATGACGTGGCAGAAAATTTGGGGTGGCATCTGGGGTGGCCAATCAGATTGGGGAGGGGGGGGCGCTGGGGGGGCATCTCTGCCACCCCTTTAAAACTGTGCGTGTTGCCCAGACCTGTGATGATGTGGCACAGCTTAAATCGGTCTAACTTTATGTGGAAATTACACTACAGTCCCCTATAGATTATCTGTCTTATCAGAATAAGAGATTATAAATGTTTATTGATGTTGTCAGAATAAAACCTCATATTTCCATTTTTGTCGTTTTTCAGTTTTTGACATAGTTTAAAAATGCCTGTTACCTTTTACATTGTGTGTAAATTTCATGATGAATGGACCAAAAGAAACAGACCCAAAACGACTTGGAAAAAAGTCTGGTTCCATTGACTTACATTAAAAGTAAAGTAGGTTTATTCCTTCTCCTGTAAAGTTACCATTTTGGAGATACAAGGTTTCGTTCTGACAGCAGTGTTATGTAGGTCTATGTAAGTTATCGTGGAGGGCTTATATAGGTGTCATGTGGCCTCTGAATTTTGCCCTACAGTGAAGTGTTACCCATATGACATACTGTAGTCAAGTGTGTGATGATTTAGACATGCAGTTTACACAATGCTAATTGATGGGGTATGTCAAAAAAAAAAGAAATGTTGGATTTATTAAAAAATGTTATGTGATGTGGTTCCATGTAACCGTGTTATGTAGCTTCCAAAGCCCTATTGGAGCTGGATTAGTTTTATGTGTGGAAGTGCTGTAATTTGAGTGATTACTGATGAGATTTGTGATGTTAATCGATCTGCAATGTCTGTAGTTTTAACAAGTCTGCTAATTTAGAGCGAATTACCTTCCAAAATTGGCCAAACTTGGTAGAAACAGTAGTCCTGTTCCACTTAACATCACAGTAATGTAACAACAAAACTGGGTAACAGAAAACAGCCTCAGTGGTTCTATATAGAAGCATAAACACTCAAAGAACAATTTGCATGATTAACAATTCAAAATCCCAGACTTATTACACACTAAGGCTTATTATTCAATAACTACAGGGACTTCAGTGCAAACTGGCTGAGCTATTCTTAGGTTATGGAAGTGTGTAGTGACACTTTTGGGCTTTGTAACCGCTGTAGGTTACATGGTAACTTGCACTTACAACCGACAATGTAGCTGGGCAGTTAACTGAGGAGGTCAATAGGGACAGACACACACAATGGAAGGTGGGCTGCAGGGAGAGACAGCACAAAGAGGGAGAGTAAAACGAGTGAAATAATATGCAAATAGATGATGCCAGGAGCCAATGGGACAGATGTTGAGATTTACGCTACAAGATTATACTAACCGAACAAACACAAAGTAAATCTGACAACTCGATTCATTTCATTGAAACAAAACAACTAACAACACTGACTTACATGCGTTAATTAAGTAATATCAATGAGAGAAAACTGATCAGAACCAACAGCAGCATGATTTCATATCTGAGTGTATTTGTTAGCTACATTAGCCTCGTAGCTCCAGCGCAAACTTCAGACACCAAACGTGTCTTGGCTTGTGTGCATTTGATTTTAGGATCAACGCATCAAAACTGTACAACTACATCCTGGATAAATAAAAATAATGTGTGGCCACGCCATATTAACTTGTGGGAATGAGATCCTAATGCATGGCTACGACTTACTAAGGTGTGAGAACGAGATAGTTAAGTCATGGCCAGGACTTAGTAAGGCATGGGAATGAGATAATTAGGTTTTGGCCAGGACTTAGTAAGGCGTGGGAACGAGATAATTAAGATGTGGCCATGAGTTAGTAAGGCATGGGAAACAAGATCCTAATGTATGGCCATGACTTACTAAGGCATGGGAACGAGATCATGCCTTATTAAACTGTAGTTAAGGCTTAATTATGTCATTCTTCTGCCTTACTAAGTCCTGGCCACGACTTAATTATCTTGTTCCCATGCCTTACTAAGTCGTAGCCACACATTATTTTTATTCATACAGGATGTCAGCAGCAGAGCTTTGTATCTAACTGAATTACAAACCTCCCAAAAACAATCCTTAGATTCTCTTTGTGCTTTAAAGAGAAAACTTCACCTATAAATCTGAAACACTCCTCTGATCTTTCACTCTTCTAACCCTGCAGGGTTTATCCATGAGGACCATCTTCGTGAGTTGCTGACCACCATGGGCGACCGTTTCACCGATGAGGAGGTCGATGAGCTTTTCCGTGAAGCACCAATTGACAAGAAAGGAAACTTCAACTACACGGAGTTCACCCGCATCCTCAAACACGGCGCCAAAGACAAGGACGACATCTAGACACCAGGCCCAGCATCCTACAGGAGTTCGTCTGAAATCAGGGGTTATATATGAGACACAGTTCACAGAGTAAAAATGCTCATCTGGAATCCATTTAAGTTGTTTATATCCTGATGAATGCAATTACTGCCAATTGAGGTGGGAAGACAGGGTTGCAAATCAGCACTTTTACCCTGAGAATTCTTTTGCAGTCACATCTTAAAGGAATACTCAAGCATTTTTCAACCTATTCTCTATTTGCTGCGTCTGTATATCTATCCTGCTGCCACAGATATTAATTTTGATGCATTTTTCTTGTATTTAGCAAAAGTAGACTTAAAGCCAGCCATAATTCTATTCTATAATTGTTTCCTCAAGCTTGAACACCCCAGTCAGATGACATGCTTTGTTCATTTTCTGAGTAAAAATAAATTCACATATGTTAACAGTTTTTTTCCTGCTAATTTTAGTGCACAATTTCTTTGCTGAGTTTAACATATTGGAAGAAATAAAACATAACCCTTTTTATTATTATTTTCCAAATATATTAATAACAGTAACTGTGCATTAAATTGTGTGTAGAGGATGTGTTCACTTATTTTCACTAAGAAAATCAACAAAACGTCATTTGACCAGGGGCGCCTAAACTTTCGCACACAACCGTAAGTGGGTGTTGAGTCAATGTATTTTCTTTCCTGTGCAACAGATGAATTAGACAGAAATTAGGTTGAAAAATGCAGTTTAGCACTGAACTAAAGTGTCATTGATGTGTACGTTTGTCCACAGTTAGTCTTAATATCTGTCTATAAACCCATATCTGAGCAGCTTTATGAATGTGGGCGCTTAGTCCATCTTGTCTATGCCGATCATTTCAGGCTAAAAGGCAAATCTAAAAAGGTTCACCAGTGTCACTTGTACAGAAGGTATACTTTAAACATAGACCCAACCTCTCTCTCTCTCTCTCTCTCTCTCTCTCTCTCTCACTAAAGGCCTTACAGAATACAAGGATTACAATAAAGTAACACAGCTTTGGTGTCCACAGTCCACCATTGTTGTTGAGAATGAGATAAAGCTTCTTGTGAATGTTTGAGCCTCAATGATTAGCTTTCCTGTTTGGTCTGAGCACTCATGGCATTTTCCCAAAAGCACCACAGGATTTGCCTCACTTTGACAAATCTGGCATGAAAACGAGGGCAACTAGGACTCAAATAAGACCTGAGAAGCAACCAAATAGATATACTGCTGTGACATTGTCAGTTAGGCCAGTTTTCCACTACAAAATATACCAGAACGATTGGAACCCCAAAACTGGGATGGTGCTTTTTCCCTTTGCCATTGTTCCAGTTTTGAAAGTTCCAGTTTACTTAAGGGAGTTCTCCTCTGTCTTTCCTAAGACTTCCCTGCTGAAAAAAAACACAGACCAGTGAGCATTACTGGTCTAAGCTGGCCTATGCTGGTCTGGTGCTGGTTTAGCTGGTCACCCCAGCATGGTTAAACTGGTTGACCAGCATCAAACACAACATATGCTGCAGCCATGCTGATCTAGGCTGGTTTTTCTAGCAGGGTTACAGCTGAAGCTAACAACAACTTAGCAAATTCTTTACTCTTTCAGTCACAAACTATTTTTAAATGACCAGTAGTACAAGAACGTGAGCCAGGATGGTTTGTTGATGTGTTGGTTGCTGTTTTTAGAATTGTACCTTTGTAAAAGTTCGCTAAAGTGAAGTAAGCTAGGTAGGAAGCTGAAGCTATGGTTATTAGCATTTATGCTAGCCTCCACAGAACAAGTGTTTTGGTGATATTTTCATTCCCCCATACAAAAATATGAGTTTTGCTTGGTTCTACACTTAATTCTGTGTAATTGTAGACACTTGTGCGCTGTTTTGTCCTATTTATGTCAGTAGTTTTTAAGCTAAGCTAACCAGTAAGCAAGGTAGCTAATTAGCCAAATAAGACATGTTACAGTGGCAAGTTCTGTTCGTTCCACATTGGGTCAGTCAAAAAAGCCTTTAATATCACTTTCAACCTCTTTATAGAGACATTGCAAAGAAATCTGCATGTGAAAAACCTTTTCATGTACCTTCTGTAGAGTTTTACACCCCATGAGCAACATTTGAATCTGTACTCGTGGCCTGTCTCTGTTTTTCCGGCCAAAGTTACAGTGATTTGTCTGTAAAGTGTTTCTCTTTGTACTGTGGCCAGGGACGTCCACTAAACAGGTCCAAACCTGACAAACAACAATGTGAGATATTTGCAGGAATTTTACACCAGGAGAGGTTTGGCTTAATCAATGTCTGGACAACAGTTAAAGGAATACTTCAGTGTGTTTTTCATCCTAATCTCTGCCTGCTGCGTCTGTAGCATACTGCTGATTAGCATGGACAAAAAATGCTGTTTAATGGTCCTCGGAAAAGAACAGAAAAGGTATAGACTTGAGAGACACTAAACTAGAATCTAATGGGCAGTAAAAGCTTTTTTTTTTCCCCAAAACACAGTTTTATAAAACATTTCAATGAATTCTTCAGTCAAATCTTTGTAAATGAAGCTATAGAATCTATTCACTGTTTCAGAGACCAGCTATGTGGTGATTCATGTCGTAGCGGTAACAGAAAAACCTTAGTGAACCCAAATGTAACAGGAACTACTTTTATATGCTGTTGTTTCAGTGTTCGAAAAAAACACTACATGGCCAAAAGTATGTGGACACTCCTAATTATTGCGTTCAAATGTTTCAGCCACAGGTGAATATCTACTTAGACACACACTAGCAATAGAATGGGTCGTACTGAAGAGCTCAGTGACTTTAACTAAATGATGCCACCTTTGTCACAAGTCACTTCATGAAATTTCTGCTCAACCGGGTAGACCATGCAAACTTACAGAAGGGGGTCGCCTAGTGCTGAAGTGCATAGCGCATAAAAATCACCTGCACTCTGTTGCTTCGCTAACTACAGAGACCTAAACTGCCTCTAGAAGCAACATCAGCACAACATCTGTGTGTTGGGAGATTCATGAAATGCCAAGTGTTGGCTGGAGTGGTGTAAAGCGTGCCAGCACTGGACTTCACTATCTGGTTGTCTGATGGATGAATCATGGTTTGGTGGTTGCCAGGAGAATTCTACCTATCAGAATGCATGTTGCCAACAGTCAAGTTTGGTGGAGGAGGGATAATGATCTTGGGCTGTTTTTCAGGGTTTGGGCTCCTTAGTTCCAGTGAAGGGTAATGCTAATGCTACAGCATACAATGACATTTTAGACAATTATATTCCTCCAATTGTACGTCAACAGTTTGAGGAAGGCCATTTCCTGTTCCAGCATGACTGTGCCCCTGTGCACAAAGTGAGCTCCATACAGACATGGTTTTGATGAGTTTGGTGTGGAGGAATGCCAGTGGCCTGCACAGAGCCCTGGCCTCAACCCCACTGGGATGAATTGAAATGTCAATTGTGAACCAGGCCTTCTCGTCCAACATCAGTGCCTGACCTCACAAATGCTATTTTAACTTAATAGGCACAAATTTCCTCGGACACACTCCAAAATCTTGTGGAAAGCCTCCCCAGAAGAGTTGTTCTGTTCCTTCCCCAGAAGGCTGTTAAAGCTTCAAAGGGGAATCCAACTCCATATTAACAATCCCAGGCTTCTTATACAGTAAGGCTTACTATTCAGTAATTACACAGACTTTAATCCAAACTGGCTGAGCTATTCTTAGGTTATAGAAGTATGCAATAAAACTTTGGGCCTGCTGATGGGCCATTTAAGGGGTTAATGCCCATGGCTTTTGAATGGGATGTCCAACAACCTCATGAAAGTGTGATAGTCAGGTGTCCACATACTTTTAGCCGTATAGTGTATATGTAATATTTATTGTCAAATGCTTCTATTATAAGTAAGTTTTGAGTTGATGTGTTATCACTTCTTTTGTCTGTGGTAACTGATGGTACAACAAATGCAGCCGATAAAGATTAGGCTAAAAAACACTGAATGATTCTTTTTAATGCCAGTTTAACACGAATGAGAATGAATAATTGGATTATGAGCTAATATGCTGCTCAATCCCAGGTTAGGTTATTGATTTTCACCTAAGATGGCAAATTTGGCGTATCTTAGCAGGTTCAGCCCTAAGCCCTGAGAATGCTAATGCTATTTGAGGGAGGCAGTCTGGCTGTGCTGGCTGTGCTTTGTACATTTCAGAAGTCCCCAAAGCACTTGTTCCAAATTTAGCCTGGTATTATTTTCCCTGCATAAATGACCAAAGGTTTATGGGCCTTATCTAAAATAAAACATTCTTCCAGTTGTTCTGCGTGTACGAGCTTGCTTTAATCATTCTGCTGTCTCTTCTGTATGTCCTTTTGGAACTAGACATCACCAAAAATACATTTGGATAGAAACCTCTCACCACTAGGTCAACACAGAGAAGTCTTGTTGAACAGAATCTCAGGGCCAAGATTCAATGCCATGCCAAGACGGCGAAAGCAAACAAAGCCATGATGTGGACCTTGATAAGCAATAAATGCTTCCTGTAGCCCAGAGAAACGCCCTGTTTTGGAAACAGTGAGTCAATATGGTGAATATCTGAGACGTTAACTCATGCCAACAGTGCAGCAACTGCTTCAATGTACTAGCATTCAAAAAACCACTTGTCTTACTAATCATTGGCATTATACTTAATAATAACATGTAGTGTAGATAGAAATACTATAAAATAGATAGTAAAATGTATTTTAAAGGTAATTCAATGTTGTATCACATATTTCAAGTAATTAGGATTAGTATTGATATATTACCTGTTTATAACGATTTCTTGTCTCTACTAGAGGTGTTCTGGACATTAAAGGGCCAATATCCTATATTTTGTCTTGCATTTTATTTTCTACCCCTGAGGTCCATTTACAGTGTCTGGGAGGTTTTATGTACCCAAAACAGCCATCATTCATTTTTCCAACCTCTCTTAGTCCATTTTAACTAACTAGCCTGTTTGTTGTTACTGCGCCTTTAAGACTGATATATCGCTGCTGTCGGAACAAACCCTTGTGTATCCATTTTTGTCATTTTTCAGTTTTTGGCATAATTTGAAAATGCCTGGTGCCCTTTATATTGTCTGTAGATTTCATGATGAATGGAAGTTTGGTTCCATTGACTTACATTAAAAGTAAAGAATGTTTTTTCCTTCTCCTGTAAAGTTACCATTTTGGAGATAAGAAGTTTTCTTCCGACAACAGTGATAAGTAAATTGCCTTTGTTCTGATTGGCTGACCAATATTGCACCTTGTTATAACTGCAACACTCCTTATAACATCAGTATGAATGGGCGGGGCTAAACTGCTGTAGTCTGAACAGGCAGATTTATGTAAATGAAAGGAGTGACATCACAAACAGTTCGCAAACAGTTGTTTTTGCAGCTCAGTTTCCATACATAGATTGTATGGATGAGGGAATTAATGATATGTTATAAAATTGTAACAATTTTATTTC